CCCTCTTCGCTGCGCCACCTCCGTCCTCACCTGAGCCCTCCCGCGCTCAGTGCATAGGTTGGTAAGGGAAGAGCGAGATGTGATGGCCCAGGCTGGCCAAGAGTTGTCCTGGCTCCCAATCTCCTGCACCAAACGCACCTGTGGCCTGCGTGTTTCCCAACCAGCGCAGCCTCTGGTCTCTCGTTAGCCTCCCTGCCCAGGGTAGGTAAAGGAAGCCTGGCAAAGGCCGCTCTCGGGGCTGTGATGACGGAAATGAAGCCCCTCTTCCCCCAGTTCCGTACGGGGGAGCTAACGCCACAAGCTGAGCTACCTTCCTGGGGGTGTTGGTAACTCAGTTTCCCTGCTAGCATCCAAAGACCAGCCTCGTACCAGATTGTTCTCGGAGATAAGAATCCGAAGTAAAGTCCTGCTTAGTTCTCCCTCCTAAGTTCCCACAGACACTCCAGCCTGCGCCCACTGCGCTTAGTACCTTTCCCTAAGGAGACTCTGCATTGCTTCCGTCTGGTTCAAAGCCCACACAGCCGGCCCGTGGCTCACGTCCACAATCCTCGCTACTTAGGAGGCTGAGATCTGAGGATCGTGATTCAATGCCAGCCAGGGCAGGAAGGACTCTTATCTCCAGTTAACCACAAAAAGGCAGAAGTGGAGCTGTGGGTCAAGTGGTAGAGCTCTACCTGGAGCGCAGAAGCTTGTGAATAGCACTCAGGTCCTGAGTTTCAAACCCCAGCACTGGCACCAAAAAAGAAATCCATGTTAATGAATCATAAAAATAAGTATTAAATAAATAATAGATAATACATTCATACGATAAAGCGGCCCATGCTGGCAAGGGTCAAAGTCTGCTTTCAATCTGTGCACAATAAAGACGGAGGCATTTGTGTCATTGCGTTTGTGTTTTATGTAGAACTTATGCCCAGGCCTTGAAATAGGCATCGCCTTAACCATAATACCAACAAATAAGCGATCTGCAGTTACCCGTGAAACTCCCCCAATGACTCGCCGTCCCCCAGCCCCGTCCTGTAATACCTACGCTCAATTTGGTTTGGTTCTGTTGTTGATTTCTCGTTTTTGTTTTTCTTTTTCTCTCTCTTGAAATTGTTTCGTTTTTCACTCATCTATTTTCATCCAGACAGTGAATAGAAGCGCTAATACTTCTTTTTTAAGTTCAGGGAATAGTTGAAAGCTGGGGTCCAGGCATTGTTTCTCTGCCTTATTTTGAGTGTGTTCTTGTGTTTATATTGCTCAGCTAAACTTAGCACAGCTCACACATGGCTAGGAAAAAAACGGCGACAATAGTTCACAAACAGGAAATTTGGGGCTTGTGTATGTTGGGAACAGATGATGGTGCGCGGGGGGATAGAGCGGGAGGGGAGCTCGCACCTGGCCACGCGTTCCTCCTTCTGCTCCAGGAGCTGGGCTGAGGCTGGGGGGAAACAGCTTGAGAGTTTATACAGACCGGGTCTTCTGCCGTCCCTGCTTCGCCGCTACTGCCTGCCTGCCTTTCTTCCTCTCTCTCTTTCTCTCTTTCTTCCTTTCTCTCTTTCTTTCTTAATTTCTTTCTTTCTCTTTCTTTCTCTCTGTCTGCCTGCCTTCCTTCCTTCCTTCCTTCCTTCCTTCTTTCTTTCTTTCCTTCCTTCTTTCTTTCCTTCCTTCCTTCCTTCCTTCCTTCCTTCCTTCCTTCCTTCCTTCCTTTCCTTCCCTCCTTCCCTCCTTCCTTCCTTCCTTCCTTCCTTCCTTCCTTCCTTCCTTCCTTCCTTCCTTCCTTCCTTCTTTATTTGCCCCACTAAAGTTGTTATAGAAAGTGAGTATTTTTAATAGGTAAATAACTCCCAAGGTGCTTATGTGCCATTTTTAAGTATCTAAATAGCTGACTACAGCTGGCAGCGCCTGGAAAGAACATTGGAACGCTGTGCATATTATAACCACTGGAAGGAGGGAGGAGGGGGAAGCCCCTTCTCCTTCATAAACATTCCCAACTTTCCTTGTTTGTTTCTAACCCCCTAAACACTAGTCTTCAAAAGGAAATGGTTATACTTCGTTTGTCTATGCAACTTCCTGGCCAAGACTCCTGCCAAATATATCCTGGAATTCTATATTTAATTGTTATAATTGCAAATGTCTATATACCAACTATTTTTTTCTATAAGTAAATCATAAACGTGTGTGTGTGTGTGTGTGTGTATGTGTGTATGCTGGTCGTGGGCTTGAACTCGGGTCTGGGGAGCAGTCTTCTTTTCCTAAGGCTTGGGTGTGAGCACCTTTGAAGAGATTTCAAAACCAATGAGTTCCCGTCCTGCTGCATGGTGTGAGGAGGGGCGGGGCTGGGGAGGTTCCGGGGGCTGCTCCCTGTGAGAGGGGTCCTGTGCTCAGTCATGTTCACAGCACTCCCTTGATTCAGCTTATGTATCCAGACTGAGGCTACAGCAACTGCCCAGAAGCCTAAATCTGTCACTAGAGTTCTTCCTCAAGTGCTGAGCCAAGAGCTTATAAATGGGTTCTTTGGTGCCACCAACTCTGAGGAAAAGGAGAGAGCAGGTATTTTAACCCAGGAGAGATGCAGAAAAACTCTAAGGAGAAAGTCTTGGGTTTTGAAGGATGAGTAGGAGTTCGTTGAAGGAACGTGGTAAGGTGTTTCAGAGAATACACAAAGTGTAAATCCACAGAGAAGTGACGGAGTCCTGCCCATGTTCTGGCTGGCCTGTGAGGTGAGGGATGGGAGAGAGCGGCAGGTGCACCTTGCAATACCCTGGTGTGCTGTCATGGTACAGGAGTTTGGACATTAGTGACTTTGTGTTTCTAGTACCTCTTCCTGAGATCTTCACATTTAAGTTCACCGCACCCCACCCCGCCCCGCCCCGCCGTGATCATTCTGAAATGATCTTTAAAAGCATCTGATCAAGGCTTGCTTTAAGCATGTATCATGTCTAAAATGCGGTCACAGTTCCAAAAAAGAAAACAAAAAGCACATTGCTCCAGTTTTCAAAGGGCCTTGACGTCCAGTTGGGAAAATAACACATCACCGTTTGGGAGTTTGGAAATGCACACGAGCAACTGTTCCAGTCTGTCCCCCTGCCTGACAGAGAGACAGCAGCAGCCACCGCTGATGGGTGACAGGGCTTTCCAGGGACTGTGCAGGAGTGGGAGGCTGGGCAGAAGTACAGAAAAGACGTTTTAAAGAAGCGGGAGGTCTGAAAGCAGATCAAAGATTTTCCCTGGAGCCATGCCTATTATGAGCAGAAATAGGAAGACCCAGGCAGCCCGCACAGCAGGTGTGAGATGAGAAAGAATTAGACTTGAACTTGAAAGGACCTGTGGTTTGTTTTGTTTTGTGTTGTTTTTGATACCGTATGTGTGTGTGTGTGTGTGTGTGTGTGTGTGTGTGTGTGTTTTCCTGGGTTTGAACTCGGCCGTGTTCTTGTGGAGCTGGCACTCTACCATTTGAACATACTTTCAGCCTCTGAGAAGAGCATCATTGTGTCTACTAACGGTTGGGCCTGTAGTTCAGATCTTGGTGGCATGTTGAGGTCACTGACTCAGCATATCAAGGTACTACTCTTCAGTATTGCTGGTGTGCTGCAGGGCTGAGTAGGCCTGGAGCTCTGTGTGCCCTGTTCTTCTGCTTTTCCCTGTGTTGATTCTTTGCTTAGTACTTAGCTCTTCTGGGAAAGGCACCTAGGAAGAGTTAGGGCACCTTAGCAAGCACCACACTGGGCATGCAGTCCAAGCCAGAAAACCAGAAGCTGAATCTGTTTACTGCTTAGGCAAACAAGGCATGCTTTGTGAAACTGAATACTACTGTAACTGGTAGTGGTGTGGGCAATTCCGGATTGTCATTTTGTTCTTTCTATCAAGGGATGGGACCTGTGTCTGCTTCCTGGCTGGTATGTTCACACCCATGCCTTTCCGTGTGTGCATATCCAAGTTGCATGAGTGCAAAAAGTGTAGACAGTGTAGAGAAGAACAATTCTTAGAAATGGAGGCTGGTGGCTCACGCCTATTATCCTAGCTACTCAGGAGACTGAGAGCTAAGGGTCATGGTTCAAAGCCAGCCTAGGCAGAAAAGTCCATGAGACTTTTACCTCCACTCAACCAGCAAAAGAACAGAAAGTGGAGGCATAGTTCAAGTGGTTGAGCACCAAACATGAGTAAAAAAGCCATGCAATAGCACAATGTCCTGAGTTCAAGCCCCAAACATTACACACACACACACACACACTCATTTTATACATAATGAGTTGTGACAGTGCAGCTTCTTGTAGATTCTGCATTCCTTCTCTGCTCATCATGGGCTTCTAACTGTGAAAGTGATTTTTCAGGTGCATTTTCTTTACAGCTGCTTTGAGTTGGCTTTGGATGGTTTCTAGAAACCTTGCCCTTTTCGCTCTGTAGCTGCTCAGCCAGGACCAGCAAGGCAGCGGGCGGCTTTGCACTGGGCAACCAAGGCAGCAAGGATAAAAATAGGACCAACTTTTAAGAATCCCAGATATTTTCAGATAACAAAGACGGATCTATGCAGGCCGTGTGTGCGGGGACACAGGACAGACCACAGGACAGACCCGCCTTTGTGCTGCGATTAGCAAGGGCGCTGATGTCAGATCGCTCGTCAAGCATCGAGCTTTTATTCTGTGGCTAAATTGTGCTTTGTACCATAATCCAGAGAACCTTTGTCTGTGCCTTATGAAAGTGTGTCGTTTATGTAATTACTTTTGTTTTCCTGTTTCGTGGGTGCCAGATTCGCTGTGAGTGACTCATTGGGTGAGTGAGACAAACATTCCCATTGGGACCATGGGAAAATTAAATAAATAAGTAGCAGGTGCCTCTTGGCGAACTTGTGGGTTTTCATGGTGTCATTTCCTGCCGCAGGGGTTCGTGTCTTCGAGAGCATCTGTGTGGCCCCTGTACTGGCCAGCTCGCTCTGCCTACGGCCCCTCAATGAGTGCATTGCTCTCCGCTTTCCAGCTAGTTGAGTTCTTAAGGACCCTTTGAACTGCAGCAGGGTGATGTCAGTGGATGGGGTGCGGGCGAGCACCGTCAACCAGAACTCAGAGAGCCACACGCAGCTGCAGAGGCAGGATGCGGTCCGTTCGCTTCTGGTTTGGTCCTTACTCCAACGTGTTCACGCAGGGGTTTTCAGTACAGGGATTTTGGTCAAATGCTTGTTGGGTGTCAGAAGCTCTCTTTTCTTTCCTTTTTTTTTTTTTCTTTTGTCGGTCGTGGGGCTTGAACTCTGGGCCTGGGCACTGACCCTGAGCTCTTCAGCCCAAGGGAAGCGCTCTGCCACTTGAGCCACAGCGCCACTTCCAGTTTTCTGGTGAGTAATTGAAGATGAGAGTCTCACAGACTTTCCTACCCAGGCCGGCTTTGAACTGCAATCCTCAGATCTCAGCCTCCTGAGTAGCTAGGATTATAGGCGTGAGCCACCAGCCCTAGCTCTTTCCTTTTTTTTTTTTTTTGTTAAGGAGTCCATGAGACTCTCTACTTAAGTCTAGCACTTTACCACTTGAGCCACAGCATCACTTCTGGCTTTTTCTAAGTAGTTTATTGGAGATAAGAGTCTCACGGACTTTTCTGCCCAGGCTGGCTTTGAACAGTGATCCTCACATCTCAGCCTCCTGAGGAACTAGGGTTACAGGCGTGAGCACCAGTGCCCACTGTTAAGTGGTTTTAAGAGTGTTTTTTCTTCTCATGACCCCGGATATCTGACCACTTTATTCTCCTAGGGAAGTGGGGGGTGTTAATTGTGTCCCGTCTCTGTGCACCAGGTATTGTGTGGTCCCTTGGGGGTGCACTGGTGGGGAGCAGATGTCATCTTTTTCCTTCTTGTGGTCATTTTCCTTCATGGAATCTAGAGGTTACATGCAAAACATACATATAAAACAAAGGTTGAATTGTGCGTGTGCGTAAATCACTGTCTAGTTGAGTAATAGGGTCCCTGCAACTGTACCCCTAGTTCACATACTTCCCCTTAGGGTGGCTGACTTGAAGGTGGTCAGGCAAAGGAAGGCTTGGAGTTGGCCAGGCCAGGATGAGGGAAGAACATCCGGGACTTAGAAGGGAGTTTAAGCAGCCAAGCACCAGTGGCTCACATCTGAAACCCAAGCTAGCAAGAGGCTGAGATCTGAAGATGGCAGTTCAAAACCACTCTGCGTCAGGAAAGTCCATGGGACTCTTATTTTCAATTACCCACCAAATATCCACAAGGGGGGCTGGGGGCTCAAGTGGTAGAATGTGAACAAGACAAAACAAAACAAAAAGCTCAGGGACAACACCCAGGCCCTCAGTTCAAGTCCCAGTACTGGAACAATGAACAAAAAGAAAGGAGCATGCGCAATTGGCAAGGAATTTGGCTTCCTGTAACCCGTGTGATGGAAAGTAGGAACTGGTGATTGGTGATCACACATGAGAGAGACAAGACAGAAAACAGGCTCAGATGATGACCACCGTGGTAAATTCATGCAAATCTGACACTGTGTGTGTGTGTGTGTTTCTAATGGTGCTGAGGTTTGAACTCATGGCCTTGCACTTGATCGGCAGGCACTCTACCACTGGAGCTGCCTTCCAGCATTTGTTTTATGTATTGGTTATTTTTTAGGTAGCGTCTCATGTTATGCTTGGGTGACCGCTACTGCAATCCTCCCGCTTTTGAGCCTCCCTGTATCTCCGGGACAGCAAGTGTATGCCAACATACCCAGCCATTGGTCAAGATGGAGTTTCATGAAATGTTTTGTTTAATCTTGCCCGAGCTAGCTTTGAACTGTGATGTACAATCTCTTGCCTCTGAATAGCTAGGATTACAGACTTAAACTTATTGTGCCTAGCTGTTGATTGAGAGGTTGATATTAAAGAACCACATGTCTTCGTGATTTTTCTAGATAATTTCTTGTTAAAGGATTATAAATTTCTTCCATAAAGAAATATTTGTCTATTTAGCAATATATCTTCAGGTGTTTGGATAGAGATGTTACATTCTGAAGCATTTTCATGCATGCTAAATGTTTTCAAGGCTAGTGCTCTAACAATTTGAACCGCACTACCACTTCAGGTATTTTTTTGCTGGTTAATTGGAGATAAGTGTCTCTGAAATTTGTGTGGCTGGCTTTGAACTGGAATCCTTGCATGTCAACTTCTTGAATAGCTAGGTTATATAAGCATGAGCCATGACACTCTTCCTTAAATGGTTAGCAATGCGCCATCTTGAAAGCTGGCTCCCTCATGCTCATGGTGCCCTGCTTGCTTCTAGGCCTGGAAGAGGAGATGGTTTGTACTCCGCAGTGGCCGTCTGACTGGAGACCCAGACGTCCTGGAGTACTACAAAAACGATCACGCCAAGAAGCCCATCCGGATCATCGATTTGAACTTGTGCCAACAAGTGGATGCTGGGTTGACATTTAACAAGAAGGAGTTTGAAAACAGCTACATCTTTGACATTAACACCATCGACCGGATTTTCTATTTGGTGGCCGACAGCGAGGAGGAGATGAATAAGTGGGTGCGCTGCATCTGTGACATCTGTGGGTTCAATCCCACAGAAGAAGGTGAGCGAGTGCAGGATAGTGTCATCCAGCTTGAGCCCTCCTTCCGTTGCTACTTTGTTAGTGATGTTGTTAAACATCTTCGTTATTTCCAGTTACATAGGACAGTTTTATAATAGGAACACGGCAGAGAGAGAAAGCACTGAACTCTTTCACCGGTTTGTTGTTGTGCCGGTCTTGGAGCTTGAACTTTGGACCTGGACACTGTCCCTTAGTTTTTCATTTTTGCTCGAGGCTGGCTCTCTACCACTTGACTCACACCTCTACTTCTGGCCTTTTGCTGGTTAGTTGGAGATAAGAGTCATCATAGACTTTTAGACTTTTCTGTTTAGGCTGGGTTCAAAATGTGATCCCCAGATCCCAGCTAGAACTGAGTAGCTAGGACTGAGTGGCTAGGCCTTAGTGGCTAGGACTGAGTGGCTAGGACTGAGTGGCTAGACCTTAGTGGCTAGACCTTAGTGGCTAGGACTGAGTGGCTAGGACTGAGTGGCTAGGACTGAGTGGCTAGGCCTGAGTGGCTAGGACTGAGTGGCTAGCCTTAGTGGCTAGGACTGAGTGGCTAGGCCTGAGTGGCTAGGACTGAGTGGCTAGGACTGAGTGGCTAGGACTGAGTGGCTAGGACTGAGTGGCTAGGACTGAGTGGCTAGGCCTTAGTGGCTAGGACTAGGACTGAGTGGCTAGCCTTAGTGGCTAGGCCTGAGTGGCTAGGCCTGAGTGGCTAGGACTGCAGGCGTGAGCCACCGGAGCCAGCTTCTTTCATCAGTTTTGAGAGAAACTTTTATACAGTTTTGTTTGGTTGGTTCTGGGGTTTGAACTTAGGGCTTCACACTTGCTAGCAATGTGCCCTGGCCCTTGAGCTATACGTCCAGCCCTTCTTTCTTTACTTGCTTTTTCAGATAGGGTCTCACTTTTCCCCCACAGCTAGCCTCAGACAAAGAGCCTCCATCCTCCACCTTCTGGGTACCTATGCATGTGCTACTCTGCCTGGCTTGTTTTCTTTTGAAAGTCTCCTTAACTTTTTTTGTTTTTGCCCAGGCTGGACTGAACTGTGATCCTCCCATCTCCACCTCCTTACATAGCTGAGTTTACAAGCATGTAGCACTACACCTGGCCCTCTTGTGTACATTTTAGAGAAAAATGTAACCATTGTCAATCAGCATCCCTGAAGAAGCAGGTGCCAGGAAGGCATAGAAGAGCACTTATTGATGCTGACATAAGTATTACTACTATTGGTATTGAGCTATTTTGACCTATTGTAAATATCTAGTTTTATCTGTTTCAACCCAATTCTTTAGGTGTTGTTATAAAATCTGCATTAGAATTTGCAGCTGTGAAGTAGCCCAGGTGGTTATCAATACTGATGAAAAGCCAGAGAGAATTAATCACAAAAGGCAAGGAAAAAGTGTCCAGCCAGTGTCCACTTGGAAGGAGTAGGGGAGAATGAAGGTTTGGGTAAGAGGTTGAAGAGAACAACCCCTTATAAAGAGACCGATGGGAAATCATAGGCTGTGGGAAGAAGCCTGTTTCCATGTAACAGAAGGGCGGGTGCTGCCCTGGAATCTGGGCTCTGAGCAAGGACTCTGAGGTAGAAGACAGGTTGACACGACTTAGCTCAAGAGCTATGGATGATCAAAGCAAGGCGTCAGGTCTTGAGTGGGGAATTGAGATTTGGGGTGCCTGTCTTAGAAAGAGCTGGGCGATGGGAGGTGTGAAGAAGAATTTGTAAGTGGAAGTCTGCAGGTGTGTGTGTGTGTGTGTGTGTGTGTGTGTGTGTGTGTGTGTGTGTGTGTGTGTGTGTGTGTGTGTGTGTGTGTGTGTGTGTGTGTGTGTGTAGCTATGTGACTCCTTACTGCTGTGTAGCTTTTGTAAACAGACTCTGGATCTGTGTAGGACTTAAATTCAGAGGGAGTGAAGGTGAGCCAGTGGCTTGGACTTTGCTGTCTTCACGGCTGTACTCTAGGGTCCCCGTCCACCCCTGGAGGGATTTATTCCAAGATCACCCATGGGTGCCTCAAACTATATCCATTTTTTTTCCTCCTGTGAATACATACCTATTCTACAATTTAATTCTTAGATTGGATGCAACAGTAGATTAGGATATCGTGACAGTCTGCTATAATCAATTATTCTTGTGCTTTGGGAGCATTGTGAAGTCAAAGAAGGATCAGGAAACAAGCACTGCACACTCAGTCAGGACAGCCGTGTGTGGCTTTCAGGCAGTAGCAGGTACGGGGTGGACACGCTGGAGAGAAGGCGATTCGTGTCCTAGTAGGATGGAGTGGGGTCGATCCAGTTTCAAGCATATAGGTGGTTTGTTTCTGGAATTGCCAGTTGATATGTTTAGACTTTAGTTGACCCCAGGTTCCTGGAAGTACAGAAAGCAAAACGTGAAGGGTGAAGAGACACAGTAGTACGCTCCCGCGCAGGCGTGTGTGTAGCTAGATACTTCCACAGGAGTGCTGGAAGGGCAGGAAGATAATCACTGGTGTCAAGAATTGGATTGAAGCCAGGCCTGGCGGCTCACACCTGTAATCCTAGCTATTCAGGAAGGCGAGATCTGAAGATTGTGGTTCAAAGCTAGGCTGGGCAGAAAAGTCTGTGAGACTCTTTATCTCCAATGAACCAGCAAAGAGCTGGAAATAGAGGTATCGCTCAAATGATGCCAGCCTTGAGCGAAAAATGCAAGAGTGTGAGGCCTTGAGTTTAAGTGCTAATACTGGCAAAGAAAAATAAAAATGGATTGTAGAGAAATAGTACCAGTGGTCAGGCAGACATCCATCCTGAGCGCAGGACAGAGCCCCACAACGAGGCCAGCCCAAGCCAAGGTGGATGCAGGAGATAGGAGCTGGAATCTTCCTTCTGTTAGTCTCTGTTTTTTGTTGTTGTTGTTGTTTTTCTTTTTTAAGTTCCAGTTTTCAGTGAGATGGGTCTCGTTTTTGGTGGTTGTTTAGCAAGCACTTGTTCTGCCATGGTGAGGTTAGACGCCCCTCTCGTTCCTTTGTGCTGGGTTTTTCCAGGTCAGCAATTGGCATCTCCGCATGGTGTTGAGGCTGTGGGGACAGAGAGCAGGCGTCCATCTCCAGGTCCTGCCTGGCGATGCTGCCGCTCCTCAATGCTGAGGAGCAGGAGTCTTTCCATGTCTCTTCTTTCGTGACCCTCCTCAGCGAGATGCTGACTGAGAGGGAATGTGAATGCGTGCATTCCAGTGTGGGTAAAGGTGAGGACCTCCAAGAATTTCAAGAGACTTTCTATCCAGGATTAAAGTTCCAAGTTTTTTTTTTCTTTTTATCTTTTTGTTGTTATAAAACTGGGACTTGAACTGTGTGCCTGATATTTTGCTCATTGGCTAGCGCTCTGCCAACAGAGCCATGCCTCCAACCCCCTAAGTTTTCAAGTTTGAAGGCACAGATTCTGGGCTGAAAACAATGCTGACCATTAAGAAAGTGAATGAAAGCTGAGCGCCAGTGGCTCACGCCTGTCATCCTTGCTACTCAGGAGGCTGAGATCTGAGGATCGCGGTTCAAAGCCAACCCGGTCAGGAAAGTCTGTGAGACTCTTATTTCCAAAAAAACCACTAGAAAACCAGAAGTGACGCTGTGGCTCAAGCAGTAGAGCGCTCACCTTGAGCTAAAGAGCTCAGAGAGAGCACCCAGGCCCATAATTCAAGCCCCACGACCGACCTAAAAAAAAGGCAAATGAGCATTATCTCAGCAAAGATGAGCTTAGTCTGTTTGAGAAAATCGGTTTATTCATTCACCCAAGTATTAGAATTTGCCATCAGTCGGCTAGGCTGTGGGCATTTGTGGAGTGCATAATAAATACCAGATGACAAGTTGGGAAGGCGAAGGGCAATCTTTTTTACTCAAGGCTTACACTCCGCCGCTTGAGTTACACCTCCCCTTCTGGCTTCCTTGCTAGTTAATTGGAGGTAAGAATCTCAGATTTGTCTGCCAGGGCTGACTGCAAACCTTAATCTTCAGATCTCAGCCTCCTGAGTAGCGAGGATGACAGGCTTGAGCCACTGGGCCCTCCACTTTCTACATTTAGTTCATGATGTATGTCTAAATACAGCTGCAGTTATATTTTAGATCCTGTTGTTCACATTTTTTCAAAACCTCTTCCTGGCCAAATCTTCCAAGTAGCCACACTGGGGAATATCTTAATATATACTGTGTTCAAGTATGTGTCAAGTTTCTTGAAATAAATATATAAAAGATGAATGGTTTTTCATTATGTAGTATCAGGTAGCCAACCCCCCCCAATACTTTATGGTATTCTTATTCGGATTTTCAATTTATCATAGGGAAACTGCTAGGATGATTGAAAATAACCACTGTACATCCTTATGTATTTATAGTAGCTGACTTTGATAAATGCCTTAAAAAAAAAAAAGCTTAGCTTGGCCCTGATAGCTCATACCTGTAATCCTAGCTACTCAGGAGGCTGAGATCTGGCAAGAAAGTTGATGAGATAGACTTTTATTTCCAAGTAAATACTAAGAAGTTTAGGGACACCCTGGCCTTGAGTTCAAGCCCAAATACCAACATAGAAATAAATAGGTAGGCAGATAAGTAGGTAGGTAGACAGACAGATAGACAGATAGATAGATAGATAGATAGATAGATAGATAGATAGATAGATAGATAGATAGATAGATAGAAGAGCAAGCCTAGTCTGGACAAAGTACTGGATTTGGTCCCAGAACCACAAAAACCACAAGAAGAGACAGACAGAGAGATCAAACACAATTAAAGGATCAGAAGGTTTGCATCAAATTTTAAACAGCAAAGGACTGTTATTAATCTTTCTAACATCATACCGTTCAATATGGCACAGTAGGACTCAAAATGTGTTTGTTCCTCCACTGATTATTTTTTCCTACCTGTTTTCTCTTTTCTTGCTTCTACACAGACCCCAGCACTACTCACCAGTGCTGACTGCTTTCTTCTTCCTGCCCCTAGATCTGTCCCCTGGGCCCTGGGTTTGTCCCCGTTCTGAACATTCACCACGTTCCTCATCTTGCCGTGGAAACTGGCTGCTGCCAGTTTTCAAGCCAGATGTGGGAAGAAACAGACTATGTCTGGCTTTCCAGCCTGGGAAAATAACTGCCCCGCCGTCCCTATGAGAATAACTCGTTTTTCCCCTGAAAAACAAAAGGAGAAGGGAAAACTCTGACCTGTGTTTTGATTCCAGGAACCTCTCAAAATACCGCCCGCATGTTATTTCCGCTGGCCCAGGTGACCGCGGCTATTTTGACTCTTCTGTGCTGGCAAGCGAGCTCTTGTTTTCCAATCCTAACTTGCTGAACTGTCTGTGGATTTTCTGGGCTTTTCTTTAGGGGATGCAAGTGAGGGTAGAAACAAAATTTCTTTTGTTTTTCTTGGAAATGAGATTTCTTTTTGTTTCTACAACCCCAAGGTAGAAGCTGTTAAACAACCAACAGGGCTGGGAGTCTCCGGCCCAGAGCAGTGGAAAGATGGTGGGAAATCCCCCGGCCCGAGTTAAGTTCCCAAGATTCGAAAGCGGACTTAAGTTTGCTTTTCTTCCAATGCCTAAATTACAGTTGTTTAGTTTTAAAATAGTACGATTTTCTGTTTGCTCATCTTTCTTTTAGTAGACAAATTAACAGTTAAATATGTATTCGCATATCCTGTCCTGTATAATCTTCGTTCATCGGGGCCTTAGTAGCTTTTTATTTGCTTTTGTATTGAGGCATCTATTGTTACTATACTGTTGAGCATAGTTCTGTGTCTCACAGACATTCCTGCCTGTAATCCTCAGATCTCAGCCTCCTGAGTAGCTAGGATTTACTGGCGTGAGCCACTGGCTCCCAGCTTGTATTACACATTTTCTTTTATTTTTTTATTGTGAAAATACTGTACAGAGGGGTTACAATTACATGGGCAAGATAATGAGTACATTTCTTTTTTTTGGGGGGTCTGGTCGTGGCGCCTGAACTCTGGGCCTGGGCGCTTGTCCCTCAGCTCTTCAGCTCAAGGCTAGCGCTCTACCACTTGAGCCACAGCGCCACTTCCGGCTTTTTTCTTTTTGCTTATGTGGTGCTGAGGAATCGAACCCAGGGCCTTGAGCATGCAAGGCAAGCGCTCTACCACTGAGCCACCTTCCCAGCCCATGAGTACATTTCTTTTTTTTTTTTTGTCTTTTCTTTTTTGGTACTGGGGATCGAACCCAGGACGTTGCGCTTGCTAGGCAAGCGCTTTGCCACTGAGCTACATCCCAGCCCATGAGTACATTTCTTTTTTTTTTTTTGTCTTTTCTTTTTTGGTACTGGGGATCGAACCCAGGACGTTGCGCTTGCTAGGCAAGCGCTTTGCCACTGAGCTACATCCCAGCCCATGAGTACATTTCTTATCAAGCATTGTAGCCTCCTCCTTTGTTTCCCCTTCCCATCCCATCCTCCCACCCAATCCTCCACCCCCACCCCCTCTACTCCCCTCCCACACCAAAGTTGTAATTTTCGACATAACGACTTGTACATCTCATTCTTGCAATGGGTCCACCTGTATCCCTATTTAAACGATTTGTTTTTCCCCTTCCCCTCCACAAATTATACCGACATCAGATACAGTGAAAGCAGGGGTTATACTGTGGGGGAGGTGTATTCCACATTTTCAATTTGGATTCAGTGGATTCAGACCCCTAGTTTCTAACATACCCGGTGATTCTGATGCCCTCATCCTTCTGCATCAGAATTGTAGCATTTGTCAGCATTGCCTAAGGATTAAAGTTTCTAAGATGTCTTTTCATTCTATTGAGAGTCATAACAAATACAATACATTCTCCTTGAAGCACAGTAAACATGATGTGCAGAAATTGAGGGTCTTCGGTAGCTGATGAAATTAGCTCAGGAAATTGCCACAGGTAGGCACTGAGGGCTCACCCCTGTAATATCCTGTCTACTCAGGAGAGTGAGATTTGAGGATCACAATTTGAAGCTAGCCCAGGCAGGAAAAGTCTGTGAGACTCTGTTTCCAATTAAGAGCCAGAAATGGAGCTGTGGCTCAAGTGGTAGTGTGCTATCCTTGAGCAAGAAAGCTCAGGGATAGTGTTCAGGCCCTTAGTTCAAGCACTAGGACTAGTATAAAAAAAAAAAAAAAAGATGCCGGGTGCTGGTGGCTCACGCCTTTAATCCTAGCTACTCAGGATGCTGAGATGTGAGGATCACGATTCAAAGCCAGCCCTGGCAGGAAAGTCCGTGAGATTATTATCTCTAGTAAATCACCAGAAAACCAAAGTGGAGTTGTGGTTCAAGCGGTAGAGCCACTAGCCTTGAGCTGAAGAGCTGAAGTACAGCACCCAGGCCCAGAGTTCAAGCCCCATGACCGACAAAAAAAAAACGAAGGAAAGCAAAGCTGTAACTTGCAGCTACCATTGCTGTTTCTCATTTGTATCCATTCATCTTTGTAAAATATTCTTCCATGGAAAAGGTGTGTTCAGAAGCGAGAAGACAATTGGGTTAGTGTTGATTGTGATTATAATGAATATTCCTTATAGACTTCGATTTGCTAAGTTGAACATAGGTTTATTTAAAATGATTCTCTTTACAGAGAAAAAAAATACACTAAATGAAGCAACTCATCAGACACAATGGTAATCAATAGAACCAGAGTGACCCTGACCTGTTTATGTTTCATTGTGGACATAAAGTAAGACTTTCATCATAGAAAGTAGAAAATTCCATGCACAGATACAGGCCATCTTCAGAAGAAAGACTCACCACCTCCAGACAAGGGTTGTTTTGTTACATATCAGAACACAGCAAGTTAGGGGTTGCAGAATCAGGGAACTCACTGTAGTCACTACGCCACATTGTTCTTCACTGATAACACAGAGTAAGATTGAATCCTAAGGCTTACGTCATGCACTGTTTCACAGGAATTAGTTTGACTGTTGGAAAGGTGTTACTTAGGCTCTCCAGCCTGAGGGACATGACTACCCGGCATCATGGTTGTCAATGGGAAAAGCTATACATTTGGCAAAGGCTCCTTTGGGCCTATTTATTTTTTATGTGTCTCATCAAATCTACTGCTCTTCACTGAAAACTTGCTCATGAGAAGGCCTTCCTTAACAATGCTTACTAGCTATCTTAAGTAAATTTTAGTTAAAAGTTTGTGTCAACCTGGGGACTAGTGGCTCACATCTGTAATCCTAGCTACTCAGAAGGCTAAGATCTGAGGCTTGAGGTTCAAAGCCAAGCCAAGCAGAGAAGTCTGTGAAACTCTTATCTTGATTTAACCAGCGAAAGGTCAGAAGAGAAGCTGTGACTCAAGTGGTAGAGTATCGGTCTTGAGCTAAGGGACAATGCTCAGGCCCTGAGTTCAAACTTCAGTACACACACACACACACACACGTTTGCTTTAGTAGCCTATTAGGCCTTTAATAGATGTTAATTATACTCTAAATGTCTTCTGAATTAAGAAACAGGAAATGATTTTACATGTACAAGCAAACCCTTTTTCTTGGAAAAAGCAGTTAAGTCAAACCCACAAAAACAAGGAGCAGAATGGCCTATTTCATTGCTGGTAGCATAGAATAGCCATAAATCATGTGTCTTTTGTGGTTTTTTTCTATCAGGCATTTACTCAGAAATGTGAAGTTAGAGCACATCTAGGCACAGTGAGGGCTTTCTGCAAGAGCTGGCTGCGTAGCCACATTAACGCGGGGGAAAATGGTCTAGATAACAAAATCATTTTTTTGTGCGGGCCAAAGATGCCTCTCCTGGTAGAATTGTAGAGCACCTTCCTTTTCAGTAGCCTCAAAACTGAAGACCGCGACTCCTGAGTGAGAGGGAGATTCTAGGTCTTTAGAGCTCTTTGACAGGAACCAGTTACGCTCTGTGTACTCATTGCTATTTAGGCAATGGCTGTGTGGTTGTTATTTGAGCTGGGGGTCACAGTTGTCCAGGCTCGACTCATATATCCACCTTCTAGTGGTCTCGCTTCCCGAATAGCTAGGGCTGCAGGCATCTAGTAGTCGTGTTTTAATAGGCATGGTCGGCATTCTGCTTTTATAGGGTGAACTAGTTTGAAACTTTAAAGTGTCTTGGTTTAACAAAAGCAAGCGATGTGAAGTAACAGACAGTGACAGTTCGACTTCCCTATCGCAGATCCTGTGAAGCCGCTGGGCAGCTCTGCTCAGGCGCCTGCTGATTCACCTTTCGCTATAAACACAGCACCGCCTTCCGCCCAGGTGGATCTGTCCTCTGCTGCTCTACCTCCCTCCTACCAGCTGATCAGCCTCCCGCCACACCCCGAGACCCTTGGCACCCAGGATGATCCTCAAGACTACCTCTTGCTGATCAACTGTCAAAGCAAGAAGCCTGAACCCATCAGGTAAGTGGGCGTAGGCCTCTGTGTGCGCGGGTGGGTGGGTGTGCGTGCTCATTTGGGGCTATGTGAACATATCTACATCTTAAAATCCGTAAAACTTTAATTTCTTTTAAACCTTGAAGTCTTAAAAGAAACCGTATGTGTAAGCCTATTTTGTAGATTTCTTTCAAGTTTCTATATATATTCTCTCGTAATGACTGATATTCAGGAGACTGTTTTTGAAGAAACAGTCTTGGCCGTCTGTAGCAGAGAACTCTTTCTGGAAATCTGGCTATTGTTTGACAGGTCTTATGACAGACTCACAGTGTTACTTGCTTAACAGATTGCACTCATTTATAAATGGTGACCTTGCTCCATTTCTTGTGTGATTGTAAACCAGCCAAGGGTCATCTTTTGTTTCTGAAGAAGGAGAGGAATACTTCCTGCTAGAAGATTTTGAAAGCAAAACGAATCCATTGCAGTGAGTGTGTTGTAGTTTGGGATTGGTGTGAATAACGAATCATGCAGGTAAAATCCCACTATGGCAAAGTCTTTGCAATCTGTGAATTGGGTTTTAATGAAATTTGATGAAAGCTCTGGGACCTAATAAGGAAGCAGTGCTTACCCCCAAGCCTTGACTTCACAGATTTTTTTTTAAAGTAAGATTACAGTACCCCAGAAGTGTCATAAAGCCTTTCCAAAACTTATTTGTGATTTTTCTACTCTCCTAAGCTTTATGGTATTTTAATTTAATCATCCTTGGCCTTTGGTATTGAGTAGTTGGAAGCCTTAACATTATAGAGGAGCAGGAAAATAACACTCAACAGGCCAGTCAGTCTGTACAACTGACAGCAATGTGACCATTGGTGATGCTGTCATCAACTTACATACTGATTTGTATGAGTTAGATATGAAAATGTGTGTGTGTGTGAGCATGTGTTTGTGCCAGGAGTAGGGCTTGAACTCTCGCTTAGTTTTTCTGCTCAAGGCTGGCACTCTGAACACTTGAGCCACACCTCCACTTCTGTCTTTTTGATGGTTAATTTTGGATAAGAGGCTCTCAGGTTTGTCTACCTGGGCTGGCTTCGAACCTCGATCCTCAGATCTCAGCCTTCTGAATCACTGTAGAGTTATAGGTGTGAGTCACTCCAGCTTTAGGTGTGAGAAAGGTTTGACACAAGGTTATAAGATTATACAGAACTTTCCTTTTCATGTAAAACATGATTGTTACTTGAGCTAAAATCACAGCGCTTGTTAAAAGATACTCTGTAGAATTGGCTAAGATCTACAAAATAATCCATATGAACCATTCTCCCAAGATGATAGACACACTCAGAAACATTCTAACTAAGGTCTTCTATGTATTTGTTGTAATGGGATTTTACTTGTAACAGCAAGAAAATTTTATAAATCAACACTAGTTAATAATGTCAAATTCTAACTTGATTGTGCCTGTTTGCTGTGGAGTATTTGAAATTATACACTTGAAATTTTTTTTTATCCCTGCGCTACTAACTAAAATTTGAGTTTATGAAGATCCACTGTGACTTTCTAATGTCATTCCTTAAAAGCCAACAGCTGAAAACCACAGGGCATTTTCCTTTTCTGTTAATGTCTTTCATGGGTTTTTTCTGTTAATGTCTTTCATGGGTTTTGGTAGCATCGTGCATCTCTGTTGCGGTGGAAGTCACGCTCTGTGGGGTTGCCCAGAGACACTGTGCCGTGTGTATTTTACAAAAATAAAGATTCTATAACGATGATGTATGAAGTACTCACATGTGCCTCCTGTTAGGCTAGAGGTTCTGCAGGTGCAGAGTGGTGGTGTAAGGTGCATTGTCCTTACATCCAGTGTCCTTTGGAGTTTGCTGTGAGGCTTGTTGGGAAGGAAAGAATGTGAGCCCACGTTACTTATCGATGAAGGTGTTGGGTGAGAGTAGCCTCAAAAACCCCTGGTGCATTTGACAAGACGCTGCAGAGAGGTGCTTCACCAGGAAGTGTCCAAACTCTTGGTTTGGATCAGATGCCTTTGATAGCATGCTGTAAAACAGATTCCTTCACACTTCTTTCCGCTTTGTCATCGTATTGGAAATCACCTGATCGTTTTCCTTCCTTGGTACAGAACTGTCAGCTAGTCAGAGCAAGAAGCCTTGCTGATTACCAATTATGCTGACAGTCTGTCTTTTGGTCATTATTTAGTTCTGCTGTTTCTTTGCCTTTTTGACCTAATTCTTCTCCTCAGCTCCCGATACCCTATTTACAACATGTCTGTTCTTTCGGTGAGACACGTTATTGAGTTTTTAAATTTGGACTATTGAGCTCTTTTATTTGCAGAGTTTGATGTTATTGAATTCTCTTTCATTCCTACATTGCCTTATTTCTCTCAGCTGTTTGAATAATCTTGTTGGGTTTTTCTTTTTTTCGTTTGTTTGCATTCTCCTTGAACTTGTTCAGGTGTCTTAAAATAAACATCATTTACTTTTCTCATTGACCATTCCTATCACTAATTCATTGAATCTGTTGTTTGAACTTCCTTCCTTCTCTCTGTCACTTAAGTCCTTCATTGTACAGTTGTTTGCTTTTGAGGGAAACTTGTTGCCTTGGTTACTCAAGAATTAAGTGATTTTTTTTTTTTCCCCGCATTGAGATTTACACATCTGGGGCCAAGTTACAGTGCAGATAGCAATCTCTCGTGTCCTTTGAGTTGCTGGTGTCTTGCAGATTACTTAATACTGGGTAGTGACTGGGTTGGTTATCAGATTGTCTCAGTGTTCAGGATTGTTTGCATACCTCTTCTCCACTCAGCTGTCTGAATTGGCAGCCTCTGCCTGGCCTTCCCAGGCCTCCGCTGGGGAGACCGGCAGCCACCAGGCCTGCGCGTCCGCTGCGGGCCCTGCCAAAAATCCCGAACCTCTGGCATCTCGCAAGATAATGTTGCTTCCCACGGTTTGAGATCGTCTGTGGGCTCCTGTCAGACACCTGCCTCTTCTTAGCCATCTAATGTGACCGGCTTATTCCTGGATTCCATGCACAATGTCCCGTGAGCCCTTGGAGCCACAGTGACCCCTTACTGCCCTCCCCCTGCGCCCCCCCCCCCAGAGTCGCTCAGTCCTGACACCATGCTTGCTCTCCAGGATCTGTGGAGCCTCACAGTGTCGCCTCTCACAGCTGCGTATTCCCCGCCTCACACATTCCATCCCGGAGTGAAGGCCAGTGTGCTGTGTGGGCTTTTCCCGAAGCTAGAGTTAGCAGGCAACACGGATTCCACCATCGGGTTCCACGCAGTGTCCCCTCCTGCTGTTGGAGAGCCGCGCGGAAGCCTTCGTGAAGCGCCTTGGGGCCGTGCTTCTGCCCGGATGGTCTTCCTGCCATTTCTCTGCCTTCCTGCTACCTCCTTCCTGGTTTCTGCTCCAGTTCTCGCTTTCTCTCTTCAGAATCAAATCTCTTCTCTGGCGCCAGATTCTTTTCATTCACCAAGTGAGAATGGCAGCGGCTTCTCATCCATCCTCTCGTCCTCCTCCCGCACCCAGTCTCAGGACGAAGAACGGATGTTATACGCTGCCTGGGCGCCTGAGGGGTCCCACCGAGGGGCAGTGTGTTTTCAAGCTGGGAACACAGAGCTTCTTGGAGGATGAGACCTGAACACCAGCTAGCTGGCCTTAGAGAAGGAGAAGATCACCAGTCACGTGTGCCAAAACTTGAGAAAGGATGAGCGAGAATGCGTGTGGCGGGAGGGAGAAAAAGAGGAGCGTCTGCTTGGGGAAAGGGTGCAATGCGCAGGCGGGACATTCGAATCGGAGCAGGGTGTTAGCAGCCTGGATTCTGCGTAGCATCGTTGGTGGCCTCGCCATTCTTGCAGCTGGTAGGTTTTTTTCTGAGCAGATGAATAATGTCAGAACTATATTGTGAAGATCTTGGTCTTAAATCGGTATGGCTGTGGGTAGACCGGTGGAGGGAGAAAAGTCCAGTTAGGAGAGCTTAATACTGCAGTCCCCAGAGGTGAGGACCTGAACGTGGGGGGTGACTAGAACAAAGGGTAAATACGAGGTCGGGGAGAAGGCGGTGGGCTGTGTGCTGAAATGATGGTGCAGTCAAGAGAATCGAGCCGATTGGATTTTGAGTCTAGCAAAGATGGAGTTTCTTTCAGTGCATGTCAGGAAAGAATCAATTTGAGAAGTGAATTTAATTTAGTTAGGAACACATGAGCGAGGTCATTCAGGGATTATCAAGAGGAAATAATCAGGCTCACGAGTTTAGCATTCCCCCAAAAGCGAAGGTACAAGAAAGGAAAATTCCAGAATTGCATGTGTCGTAAATCATTGAGGACTAAACTTTGAGGAGGTCACTAGTGGCCTGTAATCTAGATACTTGGGAGGCTGAGATTTAAGGATCATGGTTTGAAGCCAGCTCAGGCAGGAAAGCCCAGGAGACTCTGATCTCCAATTAACTACTCCTCCCCAAAATAAGACCAGAAGTGGGGCTGTGACTCAGGTAGTAGAGCACTACCCTTCAGCTTAGCAACAGCACCCAGGCCCTGCGCCCCCCCCCCAAAAAAAAAAAAAAAACAACTCACTTTGGTGGTCATTCCTAGGTAAAAAGACAGAGGGCAGAAGCCAGTCACTGAACCGAGGAAGTGAGTAATCTGAAGAACACTGGGGCAGGGAGAGGGGCCTTGCACAGTGCCTACAGGTGCCGCTCAGGTGTGTTGTTTATCATTGAGGAAGTGAGGACAGCGGTGCTGTTAGCATTTCCTCCTGGCTTAGAGAGAAATTCTGTGGATAACTTCCTAATACAAGAGGCAGAGGCTGTACCCCCAAAGCAAGGTGGCCTCAAATGAGTTTTCTTTCGGTTGTTGGAGCTGGGTAACGAACTCTACGCCGTATGTGCCATGGATCTCTTCCTAGTGTTGGCTCAGTGTTTTTTAACAGAAGCTTACTGGAAGGGCAGGCCCAGGAGACAGGTTGTTAGCCGCCTTCTTCTAGGTCTGGGTTAGGAGGAACAAGTTTGCCACAGGCTTGAAGAGCAGTGAACCCACTTTCTAAGCCGGCGCCAGCTTTTGCGTGTTCTTTCCTAGGAAGTACTTTTGTGTGTGTACCTTCTCCATTTTCCTTCCGAGACTTTTGTCACGTCTAATGGTAGTGCTTCAGGGATTGTGGTTTTTAGGTGTGGATTTCTTAGGTAGAATTGGGGGTGCGGGCAGAACAGGAATCACGGAGAATGCTTCTGGTAGTTTCGTGGTGGTGGTGGTTTTGTTGTCGGGTGTATAATCCTAAAAAATAAAAACTGAAGACCATTTGTGCTTTAAATCTTATGGATCATACACACAAAGAAATCTAATGGCAAAAAAAAAAAACCCCACCTGTATTTTGATGGCTTCACTATGAATGTATTTGCCAAAACTCTAGTCTTATGTCTTGACCCTATTTTCTTCTGTCATCAACCATGTTTGTTTAGAGCCCACGCTGATTCGGCAAAAACCACTTCCTCTGAAACGGACTGCAACGACAATGTCCCCGCTCCCAAAAGCACCGCCTCCTCCCACGGCAATGTCCCCGCTCCCAAAAGCACCGCCTCCTCCCACGGCAAACACGGCATGAACGGCTTCTTCCAGCAGCAGCCGATGTATGACTCCCCACCCGCGCGGGCCACGTCCGTCTCTGTCGACTCCAGCCTTTATAACCTGCCCCGGAGTTATTCCCACGATGTGTTGCCAAAGGAATCTCCATCGAGTACTGAAGCAGACGGAGAACTCTATGTTTTCAATACCCCATCTGGGACGTCCAGTTTAGAGACTCAGCTGAGACACGTGTCTATCAGTTACGACATTCCTCCAACACCTGGTAATACGTACCAGATTCCACGGACCTTTCCCGATGGCACCTTGGGACAGACGTCCAAGCTAGATGGTATTCCAGACATCCCTCCACCTCGGCCGCCCAAGCCACACCCGAGTCTTGACCGCTCTCCCGTGGACACCTGTAGCATCCAGCGCGCGGCCTCAGACACTGACAGCAGTTACTGCATCCCCACTGCAGGAATGCCGCCGTCACGCAGTAACACCGTCTCCACCGTGGATTTGAACAAGTTGCGCAAAGGTCAGCTCTGGCCAGCATCTTCTCTTAGGAGAGGCTGATGGCAAAAGTGTTCTTCTGAATGGTTGCTCCTCTCAGTATGGAGCGACGGTCACCACTTCCCTCTTCTTCTCCAGCTCTGTGGTCCTGTCCCCACCCAGCCACCCACCTATTGGAGACCCAGCCCATTCCTGGAGGAATGTGCATGCTTGTTCTGTTGGAAGGGAGGAACTGAGAGTTTCTCATTCTGAAGGAGAATGGCCTTAGTGAAGAGAGAGAGAGAGAGAGAGAGTGTGTGTGTGTGTGTGTCTCCCTCCATCCGCCCGCCCCTCCCCCCTCCCTCCCTCTCAGCTTTTGCTTCCTAGGTAAGAGGCTGTTTGTTCAGACAGAGAAATTATAAAAATAGAGCAACCCCCAGTTTCTCCCAGTCCAGCCCCTTCAGATATGTGTGCTGTTATACCAACTTCCATGTCACATGTGTTGGGTGCTGTTGTCTTCCTTCCTATATAAGTAATTTAAAATTTTTAATTGTTATATTTTGTGCTGGTTCTGGGGCTTGATTGAGCTCAGGACCAGAGCATTCTCCCTTAGCTTTTTCACTCTACCATTGGAAACACAGTTCTGCTTCTAGATTTTAGCTGGTTAACTGGAGATGAAAGTTGCACCGACTTAACTACCTGGGCTGATTTTGAACTGTGATCCTCAGACCTCACTTCTGAGTAACTAGGATTACAGGCGTGAACCACTGGTACCCGGCTCATCCTTTTTTAGATTGCCACGGTACACACACACACACACACACACACACACACACACACACACACACACACACACACACACACACACACACACACACACACACCGCTGCAAAGAGAGAGAGTGGATCATTCCTGTTCACCTTGACAGCTATCAGCTGGGAAGAGATGTTGATTGTTTGTTCTTCTTTCTAGATGCTAGTTCTCAAGACTGCTATGATATTCCACGAACATTTCCAAGCGACAGGTCTAGTTCACTTGAAGGCTTCCATAACCACTTCGTAAGTATAATTGTCCTTGGAATTATCAAGACTATTTGATTGTCCAAATCTTCCTACTGAGTACTTTGAGGCTAACTGATATCCTGGAATGACCTATAATAACAATTTATCTGATTTGGGGAGGGATAGGCGAAGCACAGAAACAATGAGACCAAGGGTAACCAATACTCACTAGACACTATATTGGAAAAGAACTATACAACTTGGAGAGAGGGGAGTCAGGAGGGGGAAAACTGGGGAGAAAATGAGGGAGAGGGCGACACTGTTGACAAAGAAATGTACTCATTACCGGATTTAGGTCACTGTCCCCCCTCTGAACATCACCGTACAATAAAATTTAAAAAACCAAAAAGAATCGCCCCTCCCCTCATTGTGCTTGTGTGTCGGACAGTCATTTCTGCTTATTGAAAAACAAAACGTATGTGTGCTTTAGAAAATCAAAAATGTGTTGGCCGTGGGAAGCATGTCAACTGAGGAACTGGACGAAAACTACGTCCCGATGAACCCCAACTCACCACCGAGACAACATTCCAGTAGCTTTACAGAGTCAATTCAGGAAGCGAATTATGTGCCAATGACTCCGGGAACATTTGATTTCTCTTCCTTTGGAATGCAAGTCCCTCCTCCTGCACATATGGGCTTCAGGTCCAGCCCTAAGACCCCTCCCAGAAGGCCAGTCCCTGTGGCCGACTGTGAGCCGCCCCCGGTGGACAGGAACCTCAAGCCGGACCGAAAAGGTAAGGGGAATTTGGCAGGCACAAGAATCGGGGCAGAGTGCAGAGTTAGGTCTGTAGTTAACTGTTGCTACACAATAAAACTGCTATGGGGCTAGACCTTCCCACACTTTTCACAGTATCTGGGTCATCGACCTCAGCAAAGCCAGTCTGCTATTTATAGATTCGTAGGTTGATGGCCAGGTGAGATTTTGAGCTTCCTGTTTCTAGAGTAGAGGTTACAAGTGAAACTACCCAGAGGCCTTGGCAGGCAGCACGGGAGAGTGAGGAGACTCTGGAACTGCGAACTGCCTTTCCTGTCCTCAATGGAGAGCCTTCGTGCTGCGCCGCTGCAGTCCCTTGTGATTCGTGAGACTTTGGGATTAATTATGGTCTCTCAAGAGAAGGTAGAAATCCAGGTTAAGTATCATTTCTTGACTTTAAGAATTCTTATCAGCTCATTTGTGGATCAAAAAAAAATTACAGCCTAAATCCAACAATTCTGCAAACTAGGGATGGCCCTTAGTTCCTATTTCCTAAAATCTTCTCCAGCGTATTTAGTAACAGCAGATTTAAGATTATTAGTGCACTTGATAGAATTATTTGAGAATAATAAGAATGCCTTATAATCTTCCTATTTCATACATATAACAACTTTCATCCTCTGCTAGGGAATAAATAAATTCTTCTGGTCTCTGCTTTTACACTGGACTTTGTAAGTAATATTAAATTCTAAAATAGAGAAAAAAGTATGGCGTCAGGAGTAAACCTCCTTGCTAGCAAGTAAAAGGCCCTGAGTTTGAACTGCAGTACTGGAAAGAGAGAAAGTGGGGGAGAAAGAAAGAAAAGATAAGAAAGGAACAAGAAGGAAAGGAAAGTGGGTGCTGGTGGCTCACACCTATAATCCTAGCTGCTCAAGAGGATGAGATCTGAGGATTATGGTTTGAAGGCAGCCTGAGCAGGAAAGTCTGTGAGACTGATCTCCAGTTATAACCCACAAAAGGCTGAAAGTGTGGCTCAAGTGGTAGAGTGTCCGTCTTCAGCGAAGAAAAACTAAGGGACCGTACCTAGGGCCCGAGTTCAACCATTAGTACCTGCACACAGAAAGGGAAGGAGACAGAGACAGAGAAAGGAAAAAAGACAAAAAACAAAACCCTAAGTAGCACGTAAGATATCCTGGCTGACATTGGATAATATCTGTTCAGGTTTTGGACGTGTGGGTTGAGGTCACTTAAGCACTGACCACCAGCTGAACTGCAGCATGCTTTCGGGTGACACCAGCCCAGAATGTCCGTACCCTGGGAAGCCGCCGGCCATGTGCAGCTTCTTAATGCACAGCCGTGGTGTACATGTCTCACTAACCCGGGCTTGCATCATGACCCCTGCTGCTAAGTTTGGGTTGTGGACAAGAGAACTTTAGACTCAGACTCAAAAAAAAAAAAAAAAAAGCGTTGGGTTTTTAAGTCAGCAGGGATGCTCTTGAAACAAGACCAGAAGCAGAAATGGAGGCAGTTCTAGGGGATGGGCGCCCCGTCCTGTCCTCTGTGCGCTCTGTCTCTTGGGTGGTCCTTGCCCCTTCTTTGATCTCGCCCTTCCCCCTTCTCTTCTATCTTCTTCTGCTCTGTGTTAAATGAGCCCTACTCTCTGAGGGCTTTGGCGGGCTGCGGGTCTCTGGGACCGGATCCTGCCTCCTGCCTCCTTTATTATGCATCTGTGCAGCCGCTGCATCTGGTTCTAACACCCTATTGATCCTGTGCTCACTTCAGGTGGCTCAGAGGTCACGTGATTGGTCCAGTTTGTCTGTTCACCCAGTCCACATACTAGCTTGTAGGTCAGCCATACACTGGCTACTGTTGGGACAAGTGTCCACAATTGATCCCACAACTGTAAAGATAAGTTATGCGTGACACCAGCGGCCACCCAGGCACAAAGGGCTATGATTAGAGTGACCAAATCTGTTCTTCCCCATGCCTCTTATTCTCTGAAATAAGAAAATCTACTTCTGTCAGATAGAGCGCGATCACTTTCAAGCTTGATAACGCATTCAACATCCAGGACCTTTGTGATTCCTGTTCTTTCGATGGTTCTAAATGCGCAGGCGGCATTCTAGTCTTGTTTCAGCCCTGCTTTAGCAGACAGCTGTTGTGGTGTGGAGAACAAGTGAGGTTTTCAAATGTTTCTGGGTAATAGAAGCTGCAGCGGTCTGCATGCGCTCTGAATACCAACACCTCTTTATACAGTGAGACTATTAGAACAAGTATAAACATTTTTCTGAGACTATCTTGACTACCTGTTGGAATCAGTGGAGGATAATTGTGTGAATTACTTTTCTTTCATCTTCATTTTGGAGATGTCTGCTGGAAAAACTATAAAACTTTTGCTATAAAACTTTGGAAAAGGAAATCATTGAAGCTACATTAAACACGTAGTAATACAAAAAATAAAATTCTCATTTCGTTGAGTGTATCTGAGCAGTCCCTATGGGAATACTCACTAGCTGAGCACCAGTGGCTCACACCTAGAAATCCTAGCTCCTTGGAGGCTGAGATCTGAGGGCTGATGTTCAAAGGGAGCCGGTGCAGATAAAATCAAGACTCTTATCTCCACTTAACCACCCAAAAAGCCACAAGCCTTGAGTGGGAAAGCCAAGAGAGATAAAGGTCCTGAGTTCAAGCCCCAGTACTATCACAAAAGCAAAACAAACCAAACCAACTTAGTATAAGTGGACTTCCGAAAGGATTCCATCTGCCTGGTTGAAACACGACCTCCCCACTACCGTAACCAAATGTGGGCTAAACAGCTTTCACAGTAACATCCAGTTGTCTACCTTTTCCTCTAGAAGGACAAAGCAATACTTTCAGATTGGGCTAGGTGAGCAGTTCCAAACTCAAGGAGGGCAGGTCACCTCCCTGCCGAAGCTCACCGCGTAGGTCTCGCGGAGGAGGGAGAAAAGTAAACCCATGATCATAATTGCCAGGAAGGGGCTGTGGTAGAGGTAAGTGCTTGGCACTGTGCGGGAAGCCCCCCCCTCCCCCGCCCACCTCCCCCCAGCCAGGGTTCAGAGCGTGGATGGCAATTACGTGGTGGTAGGAGGGCAAGAAGTTTCTGGAACTTATCCTTAGAGGAAACCTCATACTAGATCCTTTCACAGAGAGAGAACATAAGGCTGGCTCAGTATTGCCAGTGGGTAGGTGGCCAGAAAGGAGGGAGGAAAATACCGAGAGCATAAAGGAATGCCAGATGCCTTGCGGGTGCCTGGTCTCCCTCACCCGTGTCATGATCCACGCTAATGAGGCCGGCCTTCACTCTGACACGCTGTCATAGAGCTTCAGGTGGACCTGTAACACGATCGGGCTGTCTCTAGGCAGCTCATTGTGATTAAAGAATACAGTAGAAGAAAATAATTATACTCTTTCAAATAAAATGATGTAAAAATCACACCTTTTCACATCATCTGCCTTGGGGAGCTTTGCCCGGGTTTCCCAATTCCAGGATTCATGAAGCTTGGTTGGGACGGGGTCCAATGGGAAAGGTGTAACAAAAGCCCCTTTTCTGGGCCTTTCGTCACCCGGGGTGGGGAGTAGGGAGGCTCACAGTGACTTTCAGGAGATTGAAGGCACTCAGAACAGGCCGCACAACAATACCACGTGAGAGACGCAGCAGGTGGTACAGTTGAACTCTCCTGTAGTATCCTGGCTTGCCAAGACGCCTCCCTAGAAAAGCGCCTGCTCTGGGCTGCCCCATCCTTCCCGCGCAAAAGAGCAGGGGCTTGTTGAGCTCCTTATGCCTGGGAAGTCATGTTCACAGGGATCCAATACTTGGAGGCAGGTCCTTGGATTCAGTCTTCTGCTTGTGATGGTCATTTAGGGGCGCAGGCAAGGGCGGCTGGAGAACTGTGCTATGCATTTTATGTCATTTGCAGGGAAATGGATGGATTTAGAAAAAAATATGTTAAATACGTCCTTCTCAGAGAGACAGACAGCACATTTTCTCTCATATGTAGAAGTTGGATCTAAATACAAACTTCCGTGATAACATATGCAGGGTGATGTGCGTGTACACACACACACACAGACAAAAGGGAGGCGTCCAGTGGTGTAACTCTTGTGAACAACTAATAAACCACTTCATATAATGAAGAAACAAGAATCAGAATGGGGGGGCAAGGAGAGGGGAAGTGTGAGGAAATACAGTGATCGTATTCAGTGTACACTATGTTGCGATGGATGGGCTGGGAAGGTGGCTCAGTGGTAGAGCGCTTGCCTTGCATGCATGAGGCCCTGGGTTCGATTCCTCCGCACCACATAAGCAGAAAAAGCTGGAAGTGGTGCTGTGGCTCAAGTGGTAGAGTGCTAGCCTTGAGCTGAAGAGCTGAGGGACAGCGCCCAGGCCCAGAGTTCAGGCCCCACGACCAAACCCCCCCCCCCAAAAAAAAAGTACTATGTTGTGATGGAAACATATAACTTGAGGGCGGGGACAGGAGGGAGAGAATGAGGGAAGGGGATCAGAAGGTGTTGTACTTAAACTGCTCGAATTGAAGCACCTTTGTGCAGCTACTTAATTAAAAAAAATAAATACTGGGTTCAAGCCCCAGGACCAGCACAAAGAGTGAAATAAAATACTGGAAGGACAAACAGTGAAAAATCGGACAAAAAAATGAGAAACAAGAATTAGATAGAGCTGGTATGACGTCCAACATCGATTACATAACCACGGACCTAGACAGGAGGCCGAGGGTCTGTGTGGAGCATGCGCTGTGGCCCGTGCGAGGTAACCACAGTGGTTTACGTCTAAAGCTACAGAGCTGATGAAAAACTGGCCCTTCAGAAAAGAGAGAGAGAGAGGAAGACAGCCAGGGGCAAAAACACTTAAAAACCCAGTGTAACTCAAAGCTTTTTGTCATTGTTATTCACCCCCCCCATGAGTGAGCTGGCTGTGGTCATCTGTAGTGCCCTAAGCCACAGCCAGCCTTCAGCGTGATAGCAGCCATTCACCCAACTGTGCTAAACTCCTTTTCTTCTCTTTAGATGGCTTAATGTGTGACCATGAATAGATTGCTACAACCAAACTGGAGAATTCAAAAAACTGAATACCAGCCCACTAGTGGGTTAGTGCTTCCTAGCTATTCAGTAGCTATTCAGGAGTCTAAGATCTAAAGATCATGGTTCAAAGCCAGGCTGGACAGGAAAGTTTTCCAAAGAACCACCAGAAAAACGAAAGTGGCACTGTAGCTCAGAGTCGTAGAGTACTAGTCTTGAGCATAAAAGCTCCGGGACAGCACCAGGCCTTGAGTTCAAGCCTCACAACCAGCACATACATACATACATACATACATACATACATACATACATATATATGTATGTATGTATATATATGTAATTCTTGCAAGACAAAGTCAGTGGGCATGTACTAAGTATCCAGGAAAAAACAAATCGCCATCAAAGCATTTGGTCTTGTGATTAGCAAATGTGTGTTTGCCACCTGCTTCTCTACAGGGCCATCAGCTAGGAAGTACAGGAATGATCAGAATTTGGTGTTTAAAACTTCTGTCTTGTCTCCAGAAAGTACTTCCAAGGGAAAAGGAGGTTTTATGTTTTCTCATAAATTGTAAAGAAAACATGAGAGGGATTGGGAAGGTGGCTCAATAGTAGAGTGCTTCATAGCACCCCTGAAGCCCTGGGTTCAATTCCTCAGTACGACACATACAGAAAATGCTGGAAATGGCACTGTGGCTCAAGTGATAGAGTGCTAGCCTTGAACAAAAGAAGCTTAGGGACAGTGCCCAGGCCCTGAGTTCAAGCCCCAGGACTGGCAAAAAAGAAAAGAAAACATGTCACCAGGAGCCAGTGGCTCATGCCTATCATCCTAGTTACTCAGGAGGCTGAGATCTGAGGATTGCAGTTCAAAGCCAGCCCAAGCAGGAAAGTCTGTGAGACTCATATCTCCAAAAAACAACCAGAAGTGGCACTGTGGCTCAAGTGATAGAGCACTAGCCTTGAGCTGAAGAGCTGAGGTACAGCGCCCGGATCCAGAGTTCAAGCCCCACGACTGACCTAAAAAAAAAAAAAAAAGAAAAAAGAAAACATGTCATTGGAGTCTCACGGACTTTTCTGCCTGGGCTGGCTTTGAACCATGATCCTCAGATCTCAGCCTCCTGAGTAGCTAGGATTTCAGGGGTGAGCCACCTGGGCGCCCAGCTTTGGATCCTGTTTTTTAAGACATGTTAGAAGAAAAACTAACATGGCGTGTGTTCTTCCCCTCTTCCTCCCCATCAAGAGTACTAACCAGGCTGGTGATCTGCTCAGCCTAACACCTTTCATAACCTTCGTGTGTTCCACGTTGCACGCAGCACCCCTTCCTCCTGCTCAGCATGACCAAGTGTGTGTGGTAACATTGGAGTCTTTCCCACATGTTTCTGAGATAGAACATTTCTGCACAGGGCTCTGGTTGCTTTTTTTTTTTTTAATTTTTACAGATCCATTTTCCCAATTAAACAATAACATTCTATTAAAAGAGTCTTCTTTTTACCAATTAGGTCAAAGTCCTAAAATTTTAAGACCTAAACCCCATGGTTTAGAGCGAACTGATTCACAAACCATAGGTGACTTTGCTACAAGAAGAAAGGGTATGTACTTCAGCACCGCATGCCTGTGGGGTGTTGGGAGTTCATTTTATTTTGTAATGGTCTTCTTGTTACTTTAGTGTTATTTTACAACTGCTCTTGCAGCCCCCAGCATGTTATTTCTAAAATGAATGCCTCTCATGACACATGATGAATCTATGTTACCCGCTTATCAGCAGCATGTTAAATGTTTGATATATTGTAGTCAGCTTGGTCTTTTGTGTTATTCCCTTAATCGTTTTCTTTAAGCTCATAAATTGCTTGTGAATCTCAGTTGTTTTCCTCTGTGTGTGTGTATGTTGCATAATATATACACATGTAACATATATGTATGTATTTTGTTCTGAGACTAAATAATTATTTCCATGTATTAAGTATGCCATTACTTAGACATTGAGAGCTAAACTCCTATTGGGCTTTTGGTAGCAAAAAAATTTTTTTTAAACATTAAAGAAAAAGCTTGAATCAGCACAACATTCTGTACATTTCTTTTTTTTTTAATTTAATTTAATTTTTCTGTACATTTCTTTAAGGATATAGATAAGAAAAGTTTTTTAACTTGATTTTAATACATCTAGTCTTCCTTATATTTGAGTTGACAAAAATACTCATTTGTGGGCTGGACAGGTGACTCAGTGGTAGAGTGCTTGCCTTGCATGCATGAGGCCCTGGGTTCCATTCCTCAGCAGCACATAAACAGAAAAAACTGGAAGTGGCGCTGTGGCTCAAGTGATACAGAGCCCTGGCCTTGAGCTCAGGGACAGCACCCAGGCCCAGAGTTCAGGCCTCATGACCCACCAAAGGAAAAAAAAAAAAAAAAAAAGCTTAGTTGTAAGCTCCTGAGAGTCTGTTTAGACCTTTAAAATGAACACTTATTTTTGTAGTTTCATGGTACGTATAGCACCGTTGATTAAAATTACATTTGTGAGAAAAGAATGAGGAAAAACGAGCATTTTTCTTTGAAGTGGCAGGATGAAAGATAACTGAAATTTTCCAATATGTTTAAGCAGTCTTCTGAAATATAATTAATACAAACAAATTGTATTATTTTGTTTTTTGTTGTTGTTGTTGCTTACTCCATATATTTCTGAAAAGGATTTCAATCAGTCTTGACTGAAAAGGCCCAGATCTCATAAGACTCCTCCTTAAGAAACAGATCCCAAGGACTTTGGGGGTACATATTAGTCTGATTGTCTACTGTGATCATGAGATAATAAGTAAAGACTTCTTATGAATAAAAATATTAGAATTACTTTTCTTTAGTAGGGAGTTCCTAAGTTAAATTAAACTAAAAATATAAGGTGATTGTTTTAAAAGTAATTATGTAAATTTCCTAGAGCTATATTTGAATATAAAGATAACAATTATTCCTTTGTTTGTTTCAAGTTTGGGTAGGAATTGTTCTCAAATCTTTGCTCATTAACTCTTGGGTTTAGCAGAGTTTTGGTTTTGTTAGAACTAATTTTCTCTCTAATGCTGCCTATTCCTCATTTTTCATACCTGACTGTAAACTGATGCTCAAGTATTGAATAATTGGAACACTTTTACATAGATCATCCCATATTCATGTGAGGATGGAATTCATAAAGAATGAATGAATGGACGAAATAAGGAAATGTATAAGTCAAGTAACTATAGAAGAATTTGGTCACAGTATTCTTTTTTGTTTTCATTTAATTTATATCCATAAAATATTCTACTTATATATCAAAGCAACATGTTGCAATAGAGCTTTGAGTTAAGAATCATGAAACATTACCTGATTTATCGCTTGCCACTGTTTAGCTCTAACCTTAGCATGTGACATCCGTGAACCTCAGTTCATCTGTGAGAAATAGAGAGTGGATTTTGAGTGGATTTTGGTTTGTTTTCTTCTGTATACTAAAGACTCCTTTTTCTCATTTTCTTTTCAGCCAAGCCAGCACCTTTAGAAATAAAACCTTTGCCAGAATGGGAAGAGCTGCAAGCTCCAGTTAGATCTCCAATCACCAGGAGTTTTGCTCGAGAGTAAGTACTTGGTTAGAATGGGCAATATGAGTGTCCTGACTATCTAGGATTGTTTGTTATCAAGGAATATGTCTAGAAAAAAATGATTTCCAAGAATGGCTTGGAGATCCCTCCTTTTGGAGCTTCTATAAAGTTAAAACTATTTTTAGTCCGGAAATCAGTAGCTCACTCCTGTGATCCCAGCTACTTGTGGGGCTGATAATGGAGAACTCTAGTTCAGGGCCAGCCTAGAGGAAGTAGACAGAGGGGGGGGGTACACATGGTACAACACTAGCCTTGAGCGAAAACAGCAAACTCGCAGCCAAGCATTAAGTTTGAGCTCCCATTCCACCAGCACCAAGAAAGGAAAATCCCAGGCTAGTATAGGTAGGAAAGTCTGCAAGACTTCATCTTAATGGAGACAAGGTGATGTGGTGGTGTGTGCTACAACAGGAAGTCTAAAAAATAGGTGGATCATAGTCCAGGTATATAGATCCAAGATCCTATCTTAAAAATAACCAGTGCCGGGCTGGGAAGGTGGCTCAGTGGTAGAGCGCCTGCCTTGCATGCATGAGGCCCTGGGTTCCATTCCTCAGTACCAAATAAGCAAAAAGGAAAAAAAAGCCGGAAGTAGCGCTGTGGCTCTTGTGATAGTGCTCTAGCCTTGAGCAAAAGGGGCTTAGGGACAGTGCCCAGGCCCAGAGTTCAGACCCCAGGTCTGGCAAAAAAAAAATAAAGTGTCTTAAAGGAGGAACACAAAGGCACAATGATTATGTGCCTCTGATTGTATAAAATAATATTTATCAAACTCAAGAAATGGAAACAAGAAAAAATAAGTCAATCAAATAAATAAAACACTTGTTAAAGAAAATGAAATAACCAGGGAAAAACAGAGTTGGAGGCAGAGTGGTAGGGAATCTGCCTAACAAGTAGAAAGTCCTGAGTTTAAACTCAAGTACCACCAAACAGAAAAACAGGGCTTTTCATTAAGATACTAAAATGTTGGCTGTTGGAGTAATCCAACTGAGGCCCTGATTTCAATCTTCAATACCGGGGAAATGAAAAAACAGTCATTCTCCCTTCTGTAGCATGCTGTGTCATGAGATAGAATAAATACGGTAAATACCAGTAGAATAACTCAGTACCTTGGAATTTTTATTAATTTTTTGAGTATGAAGAGTTCACAAGACCCAAAATTTTAGAGGGCTCTTGACTTAAAAATATAGTACTGCAAAGGGTGCGCGTGCGCCAGCCTTGAGCAGAGATGCTGAGGGACAGCGCCCAGGCCTAGAGTTCAAGCCCCACGACCGACACAAAATAAAACACAAACCAAAAAAATCCTAATCTTAAAAATACAGTAGTTTCTTGTGAGGCTGATTTAATTGGAATTTGTTTAAAGGTATATATGGAAATAAGAGGTTTTATATATAGATTCTTACTGTTGTTTTTTTAATCTGACTTTGTACTCACTTAGTTACTGGAAATACTTTCTGCTGTATTACATTCGATAATTTTATATCCAAAGCCTTCTCTTTAATACACCTGTAAGTATTACTTGTAATGTGTACCATAAAATGCATTACATAGACAGCTGTAGACATACGTGTCTATGGGGGAAGGAGTGCAGACTTGGGCTGGTTTGATTTTGGGGGTGATCTCGACAGCTCCCCGAGGCTGACGGCCTGTACCCTTAGTTCTTCCAGGTTCCCCATGTCACCGCGGCCAGATTCTGTGCACAGCACCACGTCCAGCAGTGACTCCCACGACAGCGAGGAGAGCTACGTCCCCATGAACCCAGCCCTGGCCGGTGAAGACCCGGTATGCAGTCTCCTCCTCGTCTCCCTCCCGAGCAGCCCTGACATATTCCTGCTGTAGCCTTCCTTCCAGTTCAGAAACTATGCCTCCTGTGTTTCCTCCTGTGTCAGGAAAGACAGACACAAGCAGAAAGTCTAAAAACCAGGAAGGGGTCAGAATTTCCCATCCCACTGGGAGAGCAGTGGAAAAGCAGACAGTATTTTATGTTAGCATTCCTCCACTAGAACAGGGACCCGAGGCAACCAGCTGACAAACAGGTTTCTTTTTTGTCTTGGGGTTTTGGAAGTTCTAATCTGTGATGGGTTGACCCATTGCTTTGGGTGTATGTTGGTATACTGAGGCAGGAGAGATTGGCAGAGCAAACCCAATCACCTCATGTCCAGGAAGCAAAGGAGAGTGAGGTGGGGGCCAGGGTCTCACAATTCCTTCTAGGGCCCACCCCCAATGTCCTGAAGACTTCCTCCCACAGCTTCTACCAGCTTGCCGGGTGCCAGTGGCTCACACCTGTAATCCTAGCTACTCTGGAAGCTAAAATCTGAGAATTATGATTCAAGGCCATCTCCAACAGCAAAGTCCATGAGACTCTTACCTCCAATTAACCACCAAAAAGCCTAAAGCGGAATGTGGCTCAAGGGGTAGAACATCAGCCCTGAGCAAAAAAAAGCCAAGAGCCTGTGCCAGGCCCTGACTTCCAGCCTACTACTGGCATGTGAATAAATAAAGCAGGACCATTATGAGGACTAAGCGCTCATCGCATGAGACTTAGAGAAACATCTCCGACCCACACTACTGAAGTTGTAGAGATATTTTCCAGTTATATGTGATGGGAGGTATACTTGAATTTTGGTATTCTTCTAGAAAATATACTGGGAGCATGTTGTAGTGTAACCTCCAGGCCAATGGCATGACAGTCGTGTAGTAAAATTTTCTTACACAGAAGGTCTTTTAGAACCTTTCAATACAAAAAACAATGAAAAGAACAAGCATAATGTGTTTCAGGTTACCATGTTACACAGGCATGAGAACTTTGCTAACAGTAGCAAGCATTTTGTTTTCCAGAATCCAGGCAGTTGGCAGAAAATAGCTAAGATGTTTGAGAATTTTAACCACTAAACACACTTTGCTTTTGCTTTTGTTGATAGCAGATTTACTGCTTGTTCTGTTATTTGTGTTTGCGTAGATAAGAGTAAGCTAGATTAGATATAGAAAATAATGAAAAGGAACACCAGAGAAACAGACAATAACTCGTGATGACTTCAGAAAGCCTGGCGTATGTCTTTCTTGTGCACAAGTCTAGGCAGAGTGCTATTCAGGAGGCTGAGATCTAAGGATGTAGGTTCAAAGCCAGGCCTTCCTCCCTACCCCCCACTACCCTAGGCAGAGAAATCCAAGAGACTTTTCTCCAGGTAACCAGCAAAAAGCCAGAAGTGGTATGGCTACAGTGGTAGAGTGCCAGCCTTGATTAAGATAATTAAGAGTGAGAAAGCCTGAGTTCAAGTACTGTACAAGACAGGCAGGGTAGCCTGTCGTGGCAGCCATGTTGTCTGTGCTCTGCGTGTGGCTCACGTGCTCACGGGAACTGAGTACATAGTGCTGTTACAAGACATGCCCAGAATGGAAAAAGCCAAGCAAGGCCCTGAGCTCAAGCCCCAGTACTGGCACGCACCCACAAAGAATGTTTAGATTGAATGTTTTACAGCCAGCTGTGGCTTGACATCGGTGTCAGAGTTGAGCCAAATTTAAACTTTTTTAAAGTAACTTTTTGAAACCACTTTCAGCTTTCTCTAGGCTTTAATCCATTTTACTTTTTTAAAACTAAAAGTTGAATTTTCTTTTCTTTTCTTTTTTTCCGGTCGTGGGGCCTGAACTCTGGGCCTGGGCGCTGACCCTGAGCTCTTCAGCTCAAGGCTAGCGCTCTACCACTTGAGCCACAGCACCACTTGCGGCATTGCCTACTTATGTGGTGCTGAGGAATCGAACCCAGGGCCTCATGTATGCAAAGCAAGCACTCTTACCACTGAGCCACCTTCCCAACCCCCAAAGCTGAATTTTCTGAATAGTAATTTCCTAACAATAGATCCTATTGAAAAACAGGTAGGCTTCAGTGGGTGCAAACAAGATGAGTACTATGTGCTGAGCAGGGTGATACTGCCTGTAATCCCAGCTACTCAAAAGGCTGAGAAGCGAGGAACACCTCAGCCAGAGAGTTTGGAGACCTTCTGGGAAAGATAGCAAGAGGCCTGGTCTCAAAGAAATGAAGAGATAGATGAGAAGTATGTCTCATAGATGTTTGACCACTGTTTTTCTTGTGTGTGTGTGTGTGTGTGTGTGTGCGTGCGTGCATGTGTGTGTGCGTGTGTGTTTGTTGCTTTCAGAGTCTTTTTGGCAGTCACAGCCTGGACGGGGGAAGCAGTCCTATGGTCAAACCCAAAGGGGACAAGCAAGTGGAATACCTAGATCTAGATTTGGATTCCGGGAAATCTACACCCCCACGGAAGGTGAGTGAAGCCTTGTTCTGTACAGCAGGATGCTTAGGTTTTAGAGAATCCTCACCTTTGAGGAAGTTCTATGATTATTAATTGAAATTTAGTGAAGTCTAGTATTTACATCTTACTTGATTGATCGATCAATTGAATGGTGGGTGAATGCTGGGGATGGAACCCAAAGACCGCCCTGTACATCCTCGGCAAGCACTTCTACTGAGCTCTAGCCCCAGCCCAAAGTCTATTTATTTTAATACAGTTTTGTTACACATAGCAACAACACCATGGAGACTAATCATTTTCTTTTAACTTCCTCATAGTAAGGGGAGTTATACACGTAATGCAGTTTTAGTCATTTCTGTTGAGATAATTTCTTAACAGATTCTGCCCGTCTTTACCTTCTGTAGAATGTTAGCTCAGATGACACACTGTTTCTGTCCAAATTTTTAATTGTATCTTTTTGTTTAGTCTACAAATTAGACAATGTTATTACTCGTCTTAATGTTTTGTTTTCTCTTTTTCTATTTTGGTACTGGGGATGGAACCCAGACTTTGCACTTGCTAGGCAAATGCTTTGCCACTGAGTCACACCCCAGCCCATTCTTATTATATGATAGAAACATTTTTATGTGTTCATACTGCTTTCCTATTTCTTTGTTTAACTTACCTGTCTGGTAGCTCAAACCTTCTGTTTAAAAAAAAATTCCATCCCCTAAAATGCAATAGTATTAGCTCGTTCAGTGGAGATCTGCTGGTGCTAAATTCTTTGTAGTTCTTTTTTCTAACTTAATGTGTATTTTGCCATCATTCATAGAAATTAAGGATTCTGTTACTTTTTATTGACAGTACTTTCTTAGTACATAGAAGAGAATATTCTACTATCATTTTGTGCCTTTGAGTATTTCTTAGTTTCACATCAGTGTATCTAGACATAGAATTTTCTTATTTATCCTACAGATTTATCCATAATTATTAATTTTGATAAGCTATTTCCAAGTAGAATTGTTTTTTGTTTTGCTTTGGTTTGGTTTTTTTGGGTCCGGTCGTGGGGCCTGAACTCTGGGCCTGGGCGCTGTCCCTCAGCTCTTCAGCTAAAGGCTAGCGCTCTACCACTTGAGCCACAGCACCACTTCCGGCTTTTTTTTCTTTTTGCTTATGTGGTACTGAGGTATCGAACCTAAGGCCTCATGCGTGCAAGGCAAGTGCTCTACCACTGAGCCACCTTCCCAGCCCTAGAATTGTTTTCTTAATTCCATTTTTGGGTCAGGCACTTTTAGGGAATAGAAACAGCAGTTGATTTTTTTTTTTTTGGCTCTGGTCGTGGGGCCTGAACTCTGGGCCTGGGCATTGTCCCTCAGCTCTTCAGCTCAAGGCTAGTGCTCTATCACTTGAGCCACAGCACCAGTTCCGGCTTTTTTTTTCTTTTTACTTATGTGGTGCTGAGGAATCGAACCCAGGGCCTCAGGCATGTGAGGCAAGCACTCTGCCACTGAGCCACCTTCCCAGACCCAACAGTTAATTTTTATAAATTCAGTCATCTCCTTAAATATTGCTTCTGTACTCATTTTAAAAAAATATTTTCTTTGAGGTTTCTGATTAGACATATTCACTAGCATGTCTTTTTATCATTAACTTTTTATTAACTTCTCACAATTTTCCATACCTCTATTCTTTTATACTTTTATATCTTATCATCTCTGTCTCTGTCTATCTCTTTTCCTTTTAGTATGGCACTTCTGCTTGAACTCAGGGCCTGAGCACTGTCCCTTAGCTATTTTGCTCAAGGCTGGCAATCTTGAGTGAGTTACCCTTCCACTTCCAGATTTTTGGTGGTTAATTGGAAATAGGAGGCTCATGGACTTTTCTGCCTTAAACCTTGATCCTCAGATCAGCTCTTCTGAGTAACTAGATTTACAGGCCTGAGCCACCTGGGCCTGGCTTCTTACCATCTCTCTAATTGGATCTTTCTTTGGATTTATCACTAAATTCATTAGTTCTCAATTTTCCTATTTGTTTAGCTTTTAACATCAGTTTTAATTGGCTCTTCTTTATAGATACCTCACTGACTTTACTAGCTTCTTCCTCTTTTCTTATTTTGTCCCTTTAAGCATTTTTGAATCTCTGAAGTGGCAATGATACCACCTCAAGACCTGGGAAGTCTGAATTTTGTTTGCTAACTCACACTCCTAGTTGATTTCCCTGGGTGTTTATTTGTGGCTTCTCATTGCAAATTGTGGCTGCATCCTGAGGATGTACGTTTCCTCCTGAAGGGATTTTTGTTCCCTTTTTCTGGGAGCCAGAAGGTACTAAATATCATTGCTTGATCGTGGCTCCAGACTACAGTGTCACTACCATCCCAACTCCTATGATTGGAGTATTCGTGTGAATAATTCTATGTGATACTTTAAATTAACAGTTTTTCAAACTTGAGAGGTTGGGTGCCAGGTGGTTCACACCTGCAATCCTATTTGCTCAGGAATTGCAATCTGAGGATCACATTTTAGAGACAGCCTGAGCAGAAAAGTTCATGAGACTTTTTTTTTTTTATCAGCTGTGTGGCTAGAACTCAGGGTCTGGGTGCTGTCCATGAGCCTTTTAGTGCGCAAGGCCAGCACTCTATCACTTGAGCCATAGCACCACTTCTTTTTGAGTGGTTAGTTGGAGATAAGACTCTCACGGAGACTTTTCTTCCCCAGGCTGGCTTCAAACCTTGATCCTCAGATCTCAGCCTCCTGAGTAGCTAGGATTACAGGTGTGAGCCGCCAGCACCAGGCTTCTGAGACTCTTATTTCCATTTAACCAGCCAAAGAGTGAGGAGGAAAGGTGTGGCCCAAGTGGTAAAGCACTAACCGGGAGCAAAGAAACAAAGAGAGAGCATCCTGGCCCTGAGTTCAGACCCATTACTAACAATGCACACACACACACACACACACACACACACACACACACACACAATTTTTTTAAAGAGAGCATTATAGATTTAGGGGAAAGACACCACTGTTTATTTGAAGTAATACCATTTTGGGTGACCCAATCAAATTTCAAGGATATTCACAGTGTATGAGCATCTGTGAATCTGTGCATTCGAAGGCTGACCTTCCCTCAGAAACACTCCTTGATAGGTGGCACTTGTCTGTTTTCTTTCCCTTTGTATTTTCTCTGTATGTAGCAAAAGAGCAGCGGCTCGGGCAGCAGTGTAGCAGATGAGAGAGTGGACTATGTGGTGGTGGACCAGCAGAAGACCCTGGCTCTGAAGAGCACACGGGAAGCCTGGACAGATGGGAGACAGTCCACGGAGTCGGAAACACCAACCAAGAGTGTGAAATGAAAACCTCCCGTCGCCCTGTCTGAGCAGATGCGAAGTGCATTGTAAAGATGAATGCCATTTGGGGAGATGGTGGTCTAGACACTTAAACTCCAGGCGGATTGATCCTCAGGCAAGCAGAGCTGAAGGCCGAGGACCTTTCACAAAATCGAGCAGTTCATTCAGACTGTACATGGTGCCACGTCAACAATCTGCAAGCTGTAAATAATGTGGTTAAGTGGTAACATTTAACTCCCAGAGAGACTGTCTCCCATGGCTAACCGCACTTGTAGTATTACTGTATTTATGCACTTTTCTATTGAAAACATTGGCTTAGGTGTTCCCAGTGTACCTTCACAGAGTTCTCGGATTTCTTCACACTACTCTACGTAACAATACTAAATGAACTAAGCTAGTTTTTGTGTTGTTTTTTTTTTTTTTTAAGATTTGGAAGTGGCTGCCAAAGCTATATTCTTAACACCATTAGAATGAGGAGCAGATTGACAAGTTAGCTTTTGTACGTGAAATATCAGGTGGTAACTCTCAGCTTAAAGTACAACCGTAGTATGGTTGGACTTAACCTTTCATTCCCTTCCACAAATTCTGAAGATAATGTATATTACTGGTCAGGGCCTAGTTCTCTGGTTCGTGTACATTTAGTTTTTACTGGTGGAACTTTTGTTATTTTTTGTTAATTACAGTGCTTTGGTTCATTGAGTGAAGATTCTGCTGGGTAGGATCTTGTACTTTTGACAGACTAAATAGAATTACACCCTCAAGCCTGCAAGTGATTGATAGAATGCAGTGATGTTGTGCTTTTACACTTGTTAACATGTATTAAATGTTATATGCAAAAGGTAGGTTCTATAACTAATCAGGTACGTACTGGGCACTAGTGTGCGAATATACTGACCAGGTTTAGACAATGATGTTTAGTTGAGTTCTTGTGAGTGCTAACAATTAAGTTTCCAGTTTGGGATTTGATGAATCAGTTGACATTCACTCTTAGTTCCAGCCACATACTGTGATTTTTTTTTTCATTAAATTGTCATTCAGATTCTTCCTCTAAGAATGAAACTCTGTCTTATGATCTTATGACACCATAGTGCCCTTTCTATGATTAAAAAATATATATATCCTTCTTGGCCTTATATTTAAATCCCTATGCAATTAATGTTTTATATCTGCATTTTTTAAAAAAAGATAGATGGTATATACGCAATTCTCCTATGTAGCACCTATTGCTTTTCCAGTCAGAAAATTAGGAATTTTGTACTGTGATTGATATTCACTGTCCCAATCCGCAACATACTGGAGCCTTGCTATAATGTGAACGCTTACAGTCCTGGACCCCTTCTAGCCAGATTCCTGAGATGATCAGAGGAGTGGTATCGCTCTGTCTCCCCTGGAACGCCATCCTGTGGTCTGGACATCCCGAGCCACCGTGACATTCCTCTGTTCTGGCTTTGCAACATAACTTAGAATGCAGGGATAGTCGCTTGGGTTTTATTTGTTTGTTAACCTAAGTTACAAGCTATTGATTTGAGACTTCCTGATAGCTTTTAAGGAGAGGTAGAGACTGCATGCCTATCATCAAGGTATGACCACCTCCACCAGACCTCTAATTGTTGCCTGAGTATACAAATGGACCCCATTTCGGGCCCATTGGCCATGGTGTTGTGCCTAATACAGTGTACTGGGGTTGTTTCCCTATTCCATAAACAAAGTGTTCATAACAAGACAATTGTAGACTAGTAACATTTGATGCTTTTAAATGTTTGCTTCTTTTTAAACTAAAACCCAGAACTGAATTTTGAGGTGAGTTTTTAAATAAAAAACAAAACAAAACAAAACCTTTGAGTTTGGTGTGTGATCTGTTTGTTAATAAAACTACAACATCAGCCAGGTACAGGTGGCTCATGCTTGTAATCCTAGTTACTCAGGAGGCTGAGATCTGAGGATCACAGTTAAAACCTTTCTGGGCAAGAAAGTCTGTGAGACTCGTATTGCCAATTAACCACCAGAAAACTGGAAGTGGCGTTGTGGCTCAAAGTGGTAGAGTGCTAGCCTTGAGCAAAGAGAGCTGAAGGACAGCACCAGACCCTGAGTTCAAGCACCATGACTGATAAACAAACCCACAACATAAAATCTGAAATCATAGAAATTTACCTAAACTATGAAAACATACATCATTATGTAATTATAGTTAGTAATGATACTAAATTGTAGTAGTTACTTAGAAAGTGAACATGTTTTGTGGTCTAAGCACAATAATAGCAGGACACCAGTAGCTCATACTTGTAATCCTAAGTACTCAGGAGGCTGAGATCTAAGGATCATGGTTTAAAGCAGGCTCGACCAGGAAAGTTCATGAGACTTTTATCTGAAACTAAGCACTAAAAAGCCAGAATTGGAGCTATATCTCAAGTGGTACAGCTTTCACTTTGAGCAAGAAAAGAACCAAGGGATAGCATCGAAGCCCTGAAGTGAAGCCCCAGTATCAGCACAAAGAAAAAAGTAACCACAATAATAAATGATTAACTCATAAGCAAAAATCTTCCTTTAAAGCTATTGGGAATATCCAAAGCAATTACAAATATTTTTAGTGTAACTTCTCCTCTGTAGAAGTTACCCACCTTTATTGAGCGCCTGGCTTATATATCTGTAATACTCTATCTGCAATCCTAGCTACTTGGGAGGCTGAGGTGGGCATCACAGTTCAAAGCTAATCCTTGCTGAAGGGTTTCAGGATGGCTTTTCAGGCTGATAGCTGGGTACCACGGTCCATGTCTTCACAGCCAGGCAGAAGGCTGAGGTTGGGAGGATTACAGTTCTATTCCACCTCAGACAGAAAAGCCAGGAGATTCCATCTCAACAGAATAGGGTGTTATACTTATGATGCAGGTGGGGTCTGGAATTTATCACAGGAGTGCAGACCTAGGCAAAAAGCAACACCCTATCAGAAGTAGTGCAAAAGGTGACTTGGTCAGCAGGGGCGCACCTGCCTCCCAAGTGAAAAGCCCTCAGGGCAAGCTCCGGTGCTGCCAGAAACTAAAAAAGAAAGAGGAAACCGGCACACCAGTATTTAGGGAATTCTACTTGACAGGTTTGCATTTGGGTATTGTGAGCCCAGGTCTCCAGACTGGCCCTGAACCCAGTCCTCCCGCATCATCTTCCCAGACACCCTTCACGCCCAGCCTTTCTAGTTTTTTGGTTTTTGTGTGTGTGTGTTTTTTTTAACTACTGACAAGTTGTTTTCTTTCCCTCCTTTGGAGAAAACAGTATTTTAAGCTTTCTTGTTAAGCTATTTCGGGTACACTGTGTCTTAGGAATTGAACATAGTTTGTTCTTAAAATGTTCCAAACACTCCCTGTGCCTGCTTACTTTGGCTGGTTCAGAGTGTAGGCATTCATATTTTGAGTAACAGTTATTTACAGTCACAGAAAGCTCAGATAATGAAGCCACATGCCCTGCCTAGTCCTGTCTTAAGATCCTTCTGGTAGGTCCTGCCCACTGTCCAGTAAGAATCGTGAAGACTCACAACACATAACTAAGTCAACAAGAGAGAAGAACATCCATGGATAACTATTACAGTTGGAAAATATGAAAACTATATGGAAATTTTTATAGTTTTACAAGCAGCCATCAGATTAAAAGCCATAGCATAAATGAGTATCATGGACTTAATATGATGAAATTTGACTGCCATGTGATTGAGATCGTTGTTTTTATTTTGCTCTACTTGGAAATAATTTGGATTGTCTTCTCTTTCATAGACCTATTTTTCTTCAGACTCAGTATAATGTCTCATGAGTTCCTAACCAACTGACCAGATAAGGGATTAACTGTAGTTCCTAATACCTTTACACAAAAACAGTACCAAATTTTGTGAGTTCTGGTGACCTAATTATAGCCATCCCAAATTTCATCAGGAGAATCTTGTATGTAATTTTATTTCTCCCTTTTTGCACATCTTTTTGTAACAATCCAATGATGACTATTTTCTGCTACCAAATAAAACTTTGCAGTTTGGTTTCAAGACCTTTAACTGAGATTGTGAACTAAAGACATGTATATGCATTTCCAATTGGAGTTTCCCCATCTCTCCCTCCCCGCCCCCCATCTCCACCTCTTGATGATCAAAAATACTGACAAATATCCCATAGGCCAGAGCAGTGAGGAGCACCATCTCCTGATAAAGATTCTCACCCAGAAGAGTAAAATTCCCCTCAATGGCATGAGCAGTGTTGCACATAGCTATCCTCTAGTGAGCTTTCAGTAGAGACCCCTAATCAAGACCTTGGAAGTCTATACACTGCATGTCATTACCGTAACAATGCATTGTGGGAATGTACACGCACAGCTGGAAACACTACCTACCACTCAAAACTCCACCACGAGGACCCTCCAACGCCCCTCCCCTCTATCAGTCTCGCATTATTCCAGACATATTCCTCAGGGCCTTGGAGCTCTCCCAGCTCAAGAATGCTCTACATTATTCTTGTTTTGCTTTCACTTCAGTAAACCTGTGTTGTTGCTCTGAGTTTTGCCCAATTCATGCCAGAAATCAAACATGCTAGAAATCGGCCTGTTAACACAACCATTACCACAAGACACTACATTTTGGTGTGTCAGAAATGACTTAGAGCTGGGTACTGGCGGCTCATGCCTATAATCCTAGTTTCTCAGGAGGCTGAGATCTGAGGATTGAGGTTCAAAACCAGCCCAGGCAAGAAAGTCTGTCTCTTATCTCCAATGTAACTACCAGAAAACCAGAAGTGGTGCTGTGGCTCAAGCAGTAGAGTGCTAGCCTTGAGCTGAAGAGCACAGGGACAGCCCAGGCCCACAGTTCAAGACCCACCACCGACAAAAAAAAAAAAAAAAAGACTTGGGATGATTCTGCTCATTTGTCATTTCTATGAATGTTCAAATGTGCCCAGTATTCTATTGCAGCATTGGGATAAGTCAGCCCTTTGGTTCACTCAGTCCAGCACCCTGCTGTTCTGACCTCCATGAAGTCTTACTAAGAATAAGACGCTTGGGGTGTGTGAGGCGATCTCATTCGAGGTCATTCTCATCTGCCCTTCTGTCACTTTGTAAATAGTGAAACTCTGGGTGCCTGGGCAAGCAGCAGCACCCTCTGATGCAGCACTTTGGTAATTTTTGTGAAGAGTTTTCTAGACAGTAACACTTTTGTAAATATTGTTGCAGACTTAAATCCTGAGTCAAGCTGCACATGCTAGTAGCTGGCTCTTGTTTATGTCATCCTAGCTACTCAGGAGGGTGAGATAGGAGGATCATGGTTCAAAGCCAGCCTGGGCAGGAAAGTGTGACTCTTATTTCCAGTTAACCACCAGGGAAAAAAAAAAAAAAAGCAAAGTGGTGCTATCGCTCAAATTGGTAGAACGCTAGCTTTCAGCAAAAAATGTTCAGGAACAGCACCCGCGCCCTGAGTTGAAGCCCCATGACTAAAAACAAGCAAAAACAAACAACACCTGAGCCAGGAATGAAACATTTTGCCAACTTTTGATCAGGTGACCGCCCCCCTTAGATTTTCCAATTTCATATCGTAAGTTTTTTTTTTTTTTTTGGTCCGGTCGTGGGGCCTGAACTCTGGGCCTGGGCGCTGTCCCTCAGCTCTTCAGCTCAAGGCTAGTGCCATTTGAGCCACAGCGTCACTTCCGGCTTTTTGCTTATGTGGTGCTGAGGAATCGAACCCAGGGCCTCTTGCATGCAAGGTAAGTGCTCTACCACTGAGCCACCTTCCCAGCCCATATCATAAGTTTTTAAATAAATGAAATCTAATAGAAAATTAAATTTCTAAGGTGTGTTTTTCACTAGAGACCAGATTTTTGTTAGTTATGGTTGTTCTTGATGATCAGTCCTTAATGATTAATATGTTTCTTCTGATTTTGCGATCTGTGTGGAGGCCAGGTCATTTGGAGAACTGGGGAGGAGGAGAAGGGGTGCGCATCCGTAATTATAGGAATTTTTTTTTGGGGGGGTGTCCTGTCGTGGGGCCTGAACTCTGGGCCTGGGCACTGTCCCTCAGCTCTTCAGCTCAAGGCTAGCGCTCTACCACTTGAGCCACAGCACCACTTCCGGCTTTTTTCTTTTTGCTTATGTGGTGCTGAGGAATCGAACCCAGGGCCTCAGGCATGCAAGGCAAGCGCTCTACCACTGAGCCACCTTCCCAGCCCAAGTTATAGGAAATTTAAAAGCCAAATCTCCAAAAAAGCTTACTTAATGATTTTTTTATATATATTATCTAGACTATCAAAAATGTGTGTGGTTAAACATTAGTCTAAGATGCTGCTGTGAAGGTATTTTGTAGCTATGGTAACTTTTGTAACCAGCTTATGTAAAGTGAAGCAGATTACCCGTGCAGTGTGCTTGGGCCTCAATGCATCCGTTTAAGGCCTTAAGAGCAACACATATTTCCCAAAGAAAAAAATTTTGCCAGAAGACCAGATCATTATGGTTAGTTTTATAACTCAGAGGCGGCATGCTTGCAGGTACAGTGCCCAGGTTCAATCCCCAGTACAGTTGAAAAGAAAAGACTATAACATACATTCTGAGTTCCAGCCTGCTGGTCTAGCTAAAAATAGCACATTTGCTCATCCACATTATTCTACTGCCTTTCTATCTTTCTCCCCTCATCCATCCTGCTCTTCCTCCCTTCCCATTCCTGTCTTCCTCTCTTCTTCCTTCCCTCTCTCCTTTCTTCCCTCCTCTATATGTGTATATAAACACACAAAGAAAGTGTGTGTGTGTGGCTGGGCACTGGTGGCTCATGCCTGTCATCCTTACTCAGGAAGCTGAGATCTGAGGATCACAGTTCAAAGCC